GTACAAGTATTTGATACACTGCCGATTTTGCAGGTTTTCCTACTTACAAAGCATGTAGAGGTCTGTAATTTTTATCATAGGTACACTTCAACTGTGAGAGATGGAATCAAAAACAAAAATCCAGAAAATCACATTGTATGATTTTTAAGTAATTAATTTGCATTTTATTGCATGACATAAGTATTTGATACATCAGAAAAGCAGAACTTAATATTTGGTACAGAAACCTTTGTTTGCAATTACAGAGATCATATGTTTCCTGTAGGTCTTGACCAAGTTTGCACACACTGCAGCAGGGATTTTGGCCCACTCCTCCATACAGACCTTCTCTAGATCCTTCAGGTTTCGGGGCTGTCGCTGGGCAATACAGACTTTCAGCTCCCTCCAAAGATTTTCTATTGGGTTCAGGTCTGGAGACTGGCTAGGCCACTCCAGGACCTTGAGATGCTTCTTACGGAGCCACTCCTTAGTTTTCCTGGCTGTGATGTTTCGGGTCGTTGTCATGCTGGAAGACCCAGCCACGACCCATCTTCAATGCTCTTACTGAGGGAAGGAGGTTGTTGGCCAAGATCTCGCGATACATGGCCCCATCCATCCTCCCCTCAATACGGTGCAGTCGCCCTGTCCCCTTTGCAGAAAAGCATCCCCAAAGAATGATGTTTCCACCCCCATGCTTCACGGTTGGGATGGTGTTCTTGGGGTTGTACTCATCCTTCTTCTTCCTCCAAACACGGCGAGTGAAGTTTAGACCAAAAAGCTCTATTTTTGTCTCATCAGACCACATGACCTTCTCCCATTCCTCCTCTGGATCATCCAGATGGTCATTGGCAAACTTCAGACGGGCCTGGACATGCGCTGGCTTGAGCAGGGGGATCTTGCGTGCGCTGCAGGATTTTAATCCATGACGGCGTAGTGTGTTACTAATGGTTTTCTTTGAGACTGTGGTCCCAGCTCTCTTCAGGTCATTGACCAGGTCCTGCCGTGTAGTTCTGGGCTGATCCCTCACCTTCCTCATGATCATTGATGCCCCACGAGGTGAGATCTTGCATGGAGCCCCAGACCGAGGGTGATTGACCGTCATCTTGAACTTCTTCCATTTTCTAATATTTACGCCAACAGTTGTTGCCTTCTCACCAAGCTGCTTGCCTATTGTCCTGTAGCCCATCCCAGCCTTGTGCAGGTCTACAATTTTATCCCTGATGTCCTTACACAGCTCTCTGGTCTTGGCCATTGTGGAAAGGTTGGAGTATGTTTGATTGAGTGTGTGGACAGGTGTCTTTTATACAGGTAACGAGTTCAAACAGGTGTAGTTAATACAGGTAATGAGTGGACAACAGGAGGGCTTCTTAAAGAAAAACTAACAGGTCTGTGAGACCCGGAATTCTTACTGGTTGGTAGGTGATCAAATACTTATGTCATGCAATAAAATACAAATTAATTACTTAAAAATCATACAATGTGATTTTCTGGATTTTTGTTTTAGATTCTGTCTCTCACAGTTGAAGTGTACCTATGGTAAAAATTACAGACCTCTACATACTTTGTAAGTAGGAAAACCTGCAAAATTGGCAGTGTATCAAATACTTGTTCTCCCCACTGTATATATATATATATATATATATTTACATTTACATTTTAGTCATTTAGCAGACGCTCTTATCCAGAGCGACTTACAGTTAGTGAGTGCATAAATTTTTTAATACTGGCCCCCCGTGGGAATCGAACCCACAACCCTGGCATTGCAAACGCCATGCTCTACCAACTGAGCTACATCCCTGCTGGCCATTCCCTCCCCTACCCTGGACGACGCTGGGCCAATTGTGCGCCGCCCCATGGGTCTCCCGGTCACGGCCAGCTACGACAGAGCCTGGCTTCGAACCAGGATCTCTAGTGGCACAGCTACTCATTCAAGGGTTTTTCTTTATTTTTACTATTTTATACATTACAATAGTGAAGACATCAAAACAATGAAATAACACATATGGAATCATGTAGTCCCCAAAAATGGCGTTAAACAAATCAAAATCTATTTTATATTTGAGATTCTTCAAAGTAGCCACCCTTTGCCTTGATGACAGCTTTGCACACTCTTGGCATTCTATCAAACAGCTTCACCTGGAATGCTTTTCCAACAGTCTTGAAGGAGTTCCCACATATGCTGAGCACTTGTTGGCTGTTTTTCCTTCACTCTGCGGTCCGACTCATCCCAAACCATTTCAATTGGGTTGAGGTCAGGGGAATTGTGGAGGCCAGGTCATCTGATGCAGCACTCCATCACTCTCGTTCTTGGTAAAATAGTCCCTTACACAGTCTGGAGGTCTGTCCTGTTGAAAAACAAATGATAGTCCCACTAAGCCCAAACCAGATGGGATGGCGTATCGCTGCAGAATGCTGTGGTAGCCATGCTGGTTAAGTGTGCCTTGAATTCTAAATAAATCACTGACAGTGTCAGCAAAGCACCCCCACACCTCCTCCTCCATGCTTCAAGGTGGGAACCACACATGCGGAGATCATCCGTTCTCACAAAGACACAGGGGCTGGAACCAAAAATCTCAAATTTGGACTAATCAGACCAAAGGACATATTTCCACCTAATGTCCAATGCTCGTGTTTCTTGGCCAAAGCAAGTCTCTTCTTATTATTGGTGTCCTTTAGTAGTGGTTTCTTTGCAGCAATTCGACCATGAAGGCCTAATTCACACAGTCTCCTCTGAACAGTTGATGTTGAGATGTGTCTGTTACTTGAACTCTTTGAAGCATTTATTTGGGCTGCAATTTCTAAGGCTGGTAACTCTAATGAATTTATCCTCTGCAGCAGAGGTAACTCTGGGTCTTCCTTTCCTGTGGCGGTCCTCATGAGAGCCAGTTTCATCATACCGCTTGATGGTTTTTGCGACTGCACTTGAAGAAACTTTCAAAGTTCTTGAAATTTTCCAGATTGACTGACCTTCATGTCTTAAAGTAATGATGGACTGTCATTTCTCTTTGCTTATTTGAGCTGTTCTTGCCATAATATGGACTTGGTCTTTTACCAAATAGGGCTATCTTCTATATTCCCCCTACCTTGTCACAACACAACTGTTGCCTCAAACGCATTAAGAAGGAAAGAAATTCCACAAATTCACTTTTAACAAGGCACACCTGTTAATTTAAATGCATTCCAGGTGACTACCTCGTGAAGCTGGTTTAGAGAATGCAAAGAGTGTGCAAAGCTGTTATCAAGGCAAAATGTGGCTACTTTGCAGAACCTCAAATATAAAATTTTTATTTTTTAACACTTTTTTGGTTACTACATGATTCCATGTGTTATTTTATAGTTTTGATGTCTTCACTATTATTCTACAATGTAGAAAATAGTAAAAATAACGAAAAACCCTGGAATGAGTAGGTGTGTCCAAACTTTTGACTGGTACTGTGTATATATATATATATATATATATATATATATATACACACACACACATAACTAGACCCCCCTTGTTGCACCTAAATGGAACATGTGCAGATGACAGTAGAGAGTTTCACTCCAACAGCTCAGATCTTACCAGCTGAGACTTTAATAAGTGTTACATACACACCTACACTGCCTGTAAGGCAAAACACAGCAGTGGGGGTGAGCTACTGCCCCCTACTGGTAGCACATGTTCAGGTACGGGAAATGGGATATATGACCAAAAGTTCCACAGGTAAAAGACCACGGCCGTGTTCAAGAGCATCAAAACAGTGACGTATCATGGGAAAATGTTGACTGACTGACCTACAAAAAATATTGAGTAGTTATTTAGGATGCAAGGTGATTTGATTTGTAGATCAGTCAGTCTACAAGTCTAGTTTGGAGTGGTGTGTGGGGTAATACACAAAGTAAGGCTGATCTGAAGAGAGAGGGTGGTGGTGAAGGTTTGGGGGAGGTTGGCGTGGGCCTCCCATCCTGCTGGTTTAGCCCAGATAAGACCCCATTTGTCAGGTTGTGACTGTCCCAAACGCCCAGGGCTCCACCAGACAGAGCTGGATTTATTTTTATTTAACCTTTATTTAACCAGGTAAGCCAGTTGAGAACAAGTTCTCATTTACAACTGCGACCTGGCCAAGATAAAGCAAAGCAGTGCAATAAAAACAACACAGAGTTACATATGGGGTAAACAAAACATAAAGTCAAAAATACAACAGAAAATATATATATATACACAGTGTGTGCGAATGTAGTAAGTTATGGAGGTAAGGCAATAAATAAGCCATAGTGCAAAATAGTTACAATTTTGTATTAACACTGGAATGATAGATGTGCAAAAGATGTGCAAATAGAGATACTGGGGTGCAAAATTAGCAAAATAAATAACAATATGGGGATAGTTGGGTGTGCTAATTTCAGAATGGCTGTGTACAGGTGCAGTGAACGGTAAGCTGCTCTGACAACTGACGCTTAAAGTTAGTGAGGGAGATAAGGGTCTCCAGCTTCAGAGATTTGTGCACTTCGTTCCAGTCATTGGCAGCAGAGAACTGGAAGGAATGGCCAAGCAGGAATGAAGGATTTAACTCCACAGAAAAATCCCTCCCCTAAGGTCTCTACACGATTTTAATGCATGGTAAACAGGCTGGACCAGAACAGAACATAGCCAGAGGAAGAGGTTAGGAGAGACAGAGGTAGATAGCAAGAAGACAGAAATTGAGAAGGAAAAGACAATGGCAGAGAATGACAGTCAGAAGGCTCCAGGATACAATCTTGAAGGTCATTCACTTCAGGTTGATACTCTAGTTCACACCACGTTTCATCAGCGCCATCAATGTTTAAAATAGTGGTAGTTGACTGAAAGACAAGAAAAACTGTTAAAAAATGGAAAAAAGATTTGCAGTTCAATTAAATGGACAACGGCTATGAACAGCAGGATACTCTGTCTCTCCAATGACATCTTGCAACACGCTGCCTAATTACAGCACACCATCAGGTTTCATCTAAACCTAATTACAGCACACCATCACGATGCAATTAAACCAGAAGTGTAGATCAAGCAAGCCAGAGTTTAATGGACATTTCATTGTAATTCTTGATTTTCCATATACTGTTCCTATTATTAAGTGCATTCTCATGCATTCTAATTTACAATCACTCCAAATAGAGCAAATTAGAGACAATAAAATCAATGGAGACCATTTTCAGTTGTGTAACGTGTATTATTGAACAGAAGTCTTCTTTAATATATACATATTTTACAAGACATTAGTGCACATAGTAGTTAGCTATGATTTAGAGGAGTCTGCACTGTGAAGTAAAATCAATGAAGAAAAAAAATAAAGACGAAACATCAGCCAGCAGGTCTTCAAACAGGGGGATGACTGTGTCCATGGGATGTGTCCGCAGCAGTAGGGGTAGTGAAGCTTCACTCAAATTGGGGAGACGTGGGAGCGACAGTCCCAGTTACCAGCACCTCCAAGTTTTACCCCACATGGCTGACATGTCATTTATACCGGTGCGATTAATGGTCACAGCACAAACACAAAATGATAGCACATTAGGCAACAAAATTCTCTGGGAGAATCGGGTAGAAAGGCATCCAACGTGCAGTCAGAATGCGCCAAACTCAAATTCACATGTAAGTGACGGTGTAGTTGTCCAGCATCTCCCCTATATAAATGTACCTTATCCGTATGGGGTAGGTGGGCAGGTGTCAGAGGCAGTAGGACTCAACAGGCAACTCCCCAAGAAGCTCATCAAGGCCATCTGCACAACACAGACAGACAAATTCAATCAAACACACAGGGTGGAGCTGCTGATTGGTTTACCAAGAACATACACTCCTATGCATATCCAAGTCACACCTGCGTCCCAGGACGGATCCTGTGGTGCAGCAGCAGGGGGGCCCTGGGGATCACTAGTGGAGTCAGCTCCAGAGTCTGCTGAGTCCTTTGGGGCCCCAATCACCTCCTCTTCATCATCATCATCATAGAACAACTCCATCTGAGACACAAGGGCTCCTGGAACACTGGAGGACTGATCAGGTGATGCCAACAGAGGCTCCTACATTCAACAGTAGAGTTAGACGAACATATACAAAACATCTGTCAAGACACCAAGTTTCTCTCATTAATGATTTGTCATTGTTACATCAAACTCCCAGCAGCCTAGGATAACAACAAGATATCCTCCAGGCCTTGGTAGTGGTCTCTCACCAGGTCAGGTGGGAGCAGCTGGGTCTGTGTGGAGGACAGGGTGGAGCCGTCGGGGGGGGTAGATCCTCAGGAGGTTGTTGGGCGTCACGTTCAGGTAGTGGTTACGATGGGACGGAGAGAACACACCCACCTTCATGAAAAGAAAACGAATTATGGGTCTACAGCTAACATGGTGAAAAACTGATCACATTTACACACACAACTGGAATTTGTTTTTGTGGTTTTATTGTGACTGGCTCAATCATTTTGAAAAATCAGACAAATGGTTTGCAATGAAACACTAGTAAATAGTGGTGTGTGTGGCCTGTGGAACTGAATCCTACCTGTTTGAGCAGCAGTACAGCCCCCGTCTTGAGCTCCCCTAGTCTGTCCTCTAGGAGGCGCCGGTGCACTGTGCCCTGCATCTCTCCTACAGTCAGTCAGACACAGTATTACTACAGTGCTCTACTGGTGCAGTCAGAGCAAAACAACATACCTAGCCACTGTGCTTCTGCATCTGCATTGCTTGTTCTTTGGGGTTTTAGGCTTGGTATCTGTATAGCACTCTGACAACTGCAGATGTAAAAATGGCTTTATAAAATAAATATGATTGATTGATTGATACCACATGGAGCACACTGATCACAACATTCCTACTAATGACAATACAGATAGTGTAGTAATCAGTTGACAGGTAGCACCATGGGCCACACTTCAGGAGGGAAATGCACAGATGTTTGAGACGGAATAATCTGTGGTGATCAGCATGTGGCTAATACCCGTTCATTTGATGCTGATCCATGATGATAGAATCACTAATAAGCACTTAACACTAAGGTTAAGTATCTACTTTAATAGAACTGCTCAGGAGTCCTCACACTGGCTCTCCTGAGGCCATGATGACCTACTAGGTTCAAGCAATACTCAGGGAGAAATAGAGGAACTGCAAGAAAATGAGAGCGAAAAATAGACAGAAAAATGGAAGAAAGAGGGCCCTAGGGACAAGGGAACAAACCAGATGTCTTCTACTGAATCGAGGTGTGTGTAATCAGGCATAGCACACTGGCTGAACTTTCACCCCCTGCTGTAGGAAGCTAATTCAGGTGAATTCTCAGTGGTGTACACACACACACAAACCGCCAGCCACATACACACTCACTACAATGGCTGTGTGACTAGTTCTACCTACAAACACAACCGTACCCCCAGTAGGCCTTACCTGTGGGATCCCCGAACACAGCCTTGGCATCAGCGTGTGTGTGGAGGATGCTCTTTAGTACCACAGCCATGTTGGGGACCTTGTTCTTCGCCAGCTGTTTCAGGGCCGCCTGAGGGGGAGGGAGACGAAGAGATGGAGAGGGAAGGAGATCGAGACAGGTGGAGAGAGAGAGGTGACGGGGCACAGACCTTCATATTAGAGCACTACAAAACAAGTTCAAACTGCTAATCATCAACTTTCATTAATTAAACAGTTAAATTACTTATGCAGAGTTGCCATTAGCGGCGGCACATTAAGACGGTGGAAAAACAACAGAATAACCATTAGGATGATTAATGCGTGATGATGTTTGGGATAATAACTACTAACACCCCAGTCATTTGTCCTGATTATCCTGATAGACCGCCACCACAGAGACAAGGGCCATTAACATAGAAAAAAACACCCCAGAAAATTCAATCAGGGAGACTGTCCTGGGTGCAAAAAAAACATGCTCATGAAGTCAAATTATGCAAATGTGTTTCGCAAGTGTAATTTTTTTCACAGATGATTATGGCATGTAAAGCTTCTAACATTAAATATGCAATGTTAAATTATGCATATTGCTGAAGGGTACATGGCCACGCACAGCCTGAACACCGTTAGCCTTTCAGTCACCTTTCATGCCATTTACTCTACCATAGGCTGTGTAAAGTGGATAACGCTAAATGTGCTGGTCACCTTGCGGAGTACCATGGCCACGCTGTAAGAGTGCAGAAAACAGGAGGTGTTCCTTTCGTCCAATCCCATCTCCGCCTTCATCGCTGCCCACGGACCTCCACTGAAATCCTCTTCCTCAGTCTGAGAGCTGGGAACCTGGACACAAGTTATTTTTTACACACAAACTCAGACACATTACAACACATGTTCATAAAGCAACATGACATAATGGATAAAAAGGTTAATTAATATCATGACACATAATACATTCTGTAAATGTATAGGCTACACATCAGTGTGACTAACTGTAAGGCTCTGAGCATGGCGCTTGCAACGCCAGGGTTGTGGGTTCGTTTCTCATGGGGGGTCAGTATGAAAAATGTATGCACTCACTAACTGTAAGTGGCTCTGGATAAGAGCGTCTGCTAAATGACTAAAATGTAATAGTACCTGACTGGGCAGTCGAGCCACGGCCCCATGTGCAGGTGTCTGAGGAATGGCCACCACAATGTCATCCAGGCTCTGCCCGTGGAGCTGCTTTAAGGAGAGAGAATGGAACCCCGCAGTAGCTTAGTATCACAACCAAGCACATTGCTGACTGCTGAGATTAGTTAGACTACAAATAGCAAACAGATAGAGGCAGGTAGGGACAGAGGCCAGAAAAGCCTGTTGTGGCAGCATTCCTGCAGGGCCGGGGAAGCGGCGGGTATTGGGCCGGGTGTGGTCAGAACGGGGTCTCTGGGGGGTCTTGTTGGAGTTGGACACCAGCTGGACCAGGTGGTTAGTGAAGACGGGCGTGTGGAGGGAACGGGGGGTGAGACTGGGGGAGGGCATGGGTCCGCCAAACCTACTAGAGGGGGCTGGGGAGATGGGGTCAAACAGGCTACATCCCTGAGCCAGAGGAGTAGCCCAGGGCCTCTGTATCTGGGAAGGAGGCCCTCTGACTGGCCTGGGTGTCACAGACCTGGGGAAGGGGCTGGAGAAGGGGGAGGAGGCCATGGTCAGGCCAGGAAACACTGGGCTCTGGGGTGGAGCTGGGAGGAAAGCAGCACTTAGACCAGGGCCAGGGAATGAGGACCTGTGGGGTATATTACTACTGGGAAGACCAGACATTTGGTTTGAGGTACTGAATCCTCTCAGACCCACATTGGGCCCAGTTTGAGCCCCACCACAGGCTGAGGGCCGTAGTCTTTTGGCTGGGGATACAGAGTCATCGCTGGGCTTGGTTAGATATGGGGCTGCAGCTGGAGCGGTTTCTCGGACCTGAGCCCAAGTCCTCATCTGTGGATCACTTTCATCCAGGTCTGCCAAGTCAACATCCCAATCATCAAAGTCATCCTGCGGCAAGGGGGCCTCTTGCTGTCCTGTAGTTTTTGAATGAATCTGTTGAGCTGGTGCTGAGCTCTGTTGGGGAACTGTACATGGTCCCCTACTCAGAGTAGGAAGGTGGAGAGGGGGAGGAGGGAATGTGGGCAGTGGTTTAGATGTAGAGAGCCGTCTCAAACCCAAAGCAGCACACTGTCCTACAGTGGTCGGTGTTGTGTTTTCTGACCCTGGGCCATTCAACAGGCCCCTATGGGCAGGTATGCCTTCTGTGGATGGTTGGTGTGAGTTTTTCTGGCCATAGGGAGCAGCAGGAGTTGAGGCTGCAGTTGAAGAACGGAGGAAACAGGACTGTGCTGCAGAGGACACTGTGCTAGCAGACACGGATGGAACGGACCAGTTTATCTCAAGTAGATCCTAATGAACACATACATACACACACGCAATAGCAAAGGAGGACATTATTGTATAACTCGTATTCAAAAAAAAGCCAGAGGTGTTCAGAGACTAAATGGTTTCACAACAGTACTCTACATTACTTGTGATATCAATCTGAGGATTTATACAGAGGGCTATAATCTGTCATATCTCTCTTAAACAGCAGGTGGTAAACCATTGACTAAATCATAGCAATCAGGTAGGATGTGTCAATCAGTTTGCAGCACCTCATCATCGAAGTCATCCCCAACGTTAAATAATCCATTCCACTTGCAAGTCTGCCGAAAAGAAAGATACATATTCAAATGTAACATAGTCAACTAAGAAAGTGCTAGATGTAAGTTACATCTCGCCAACTACATGGCTGGCTAACACTGTTAGCTACGTGGAAAGCTAGCTAAAAACTTATCTCATTTGAAAACTTGTGGCAGCTAGTCCTACCGACCTAGGGACCAGAGCTAGCAGCTAGCTAGCAAACAAACAAGACTGATTCTTACCATCGCAGTCATCTAACCGTCTATTTACATTGATACATAAGATCAATCGAAAGTTTAGATACCATTTAATTCAGCCATCCTATTCTTGCTGCCGTAAAGAAAATGCGAACTTTTCAAGCAAAGCAAGGTGTTGTAAACGCTACATTTTCTGCGTGATTGGCGCCGCTACGTTCAAGTAGAACGTAATACGTAATCAATGTTTACGTTGCGTGACGTTCGGAGGATGGGTCGTCACTTGTCGCCACCTGCTGACTATCTCAGGTAATGCAGTACCCGAATATCAGCTCGCATTTCCCGTCTATTTATAACAGGCACTAAACTTGTATTGGGACAACAGTATCTTTTGAAGGACATTTGGACGTGTCTGTAAAACACGTCATGAAATAGTCGAAAACAAATAACATTTTGCACAACAGCAAATTGACTATATTTTGCGTAGTAACTTGAGTTCACATGAAAAAATTCAAGGTGAGTAGAATTCTATATTCACACAACATTGATACTATGTAAATGCAATCTTCAAAAACCAGAGACAAAATTAAATGTTGTCTGCATTTTTTCAGTAAAGTCTTAAAGTCTTGATTTTCCTTTAGTATTAGCCATAACAGTAGGTTTTTAGTCAGTGTGCTAATTAAAATTTGCTGCACTGAGTAATGTTGTGTCCACTGTAAGCAACTAAAATTGGAACTGTTTCAAATGTGTTGCTCAAAGACCTCTCTTTATCTCTCCATCTGGGGGTTGCTCGAGATTCTGTCCCAGCTTTGGGTGTCATGTCCAGGGATATATTTGCCTTCAGCTCAGCCGCCTTGCATTCTCTGAAAGTGGATCAGGAGCTCCAGGAGTGGGAGGATAAGCGGCAGGCATTGGCTCACAGGAGGGCCATGAGCCAGCCACCTGTGTCCCGGCCCTCCAGACCCCCTCCCAGACAGCAGCGGGGCCTCCAGGAGATCCGGGTCTTTGAGGCCCGATGCAGAGACACCACAATCCACAACACCTTCATGTGTGGGGACATGAAGGGAGTACACACTGTGTTGAAGGACCCCTGCATGATCAACGCACTGATGGAAACAGTACATGAGGAGATGGTGTGGGCTCCAGAGCTGGGTAGGTGTCAAACACAGAGAATATAAACTCACTTTTACTGTATGCTTCACTGTTGTCTTTTTGTTAGACCTATCTGTGCCTTTCTTATAGATCTTCCAATCATTCCCCAATCACTACTCATCGACTCTCTTTATTCTATCCTCTAAACATACCTAAGCCTCTCTGGTTATGAGCATCTGCTAGGTAAATAATGTACATGCTCTCTGTCCCTCTGACAGGGATGTGGACCCTGAGCTCCAAGATCAAGCAGACATCTGCATTGCGTCTGGCAGCCAGCAGGGGACACTCAGGCTGTGTGGAGGAGTTGCTGTTTCGAGGGGCGGAGGTGGATGCTGACCCTGGTGGCAGCACAGCCTTGCATGATGCCTGTATAGGTGGCCATGACAACTGTCCAGCTGCTGCTAGCCCACGGAGCAGACCCTGACCTGCTGGCAGAGGACGGCAGCGCACCCCTTCACCTCTGCAGCACCACCCAGACATTCCAGTGAGTGTCAGCACTCGTAGCCTTACTGACACTCTGCCTGGTGATCATTTCTGTTATTTATACATAGAGAAATGTTTCAAAGATTATATGGCAGGTGGGTCTGTTGTCTTGGATGCTAATGAATGATAAGATCATAAGGTGGTGTCTCTACTCTCTCCAGGTGTGCTGAGCTGCTGGTGACAGGTGGGGCAGACGTCAACGTGTTGACCAGTGAAACAAAGCTAATGCCCCTCCATGTGGCGGCTCGTCGAGGTCTGGAGGAGCATGTGAAGCTCTTTCTGTCCAATGGAGCTGCCGTGTCAGCTAGGAACCGTGAGGGGGAAACCCCCCTGAACGCAGCCTGTGGTGGGGCTGAGAGGCCTGTGGAGGCGGGGCGGTACCTCCGCGTGGTCCAAATGCTGCTGGGAGCTGGGGCTGACCCCTGCACTGCAGGCAGGAAGCACCACACACCTCTGCACAACGCCTGTAGTAACTGCAGCCCATGCATCGCATACATTTTACTACAGCATGGAGCCAAAGCAGATGTGCAGAACTGTGCAGGATACACACCCATGGATTGTCTGTTACAGGTGGGGGATATGGGGGGGAGGGGGGGGGGCAGGCAGAGGGAGCTAATGGAGAGTTCTGGGGTCAAAGTGTAAGATCCATTTGGACAGAAGGTTATATAATTATGTTTAGAATCTTCATAATCTTATCCTGTCTGCAGGTGGTGGAGGACTATCCAGACCAGCATCCTGAGGCAGTAGCACGCTCCCTCCTAAACCACGGGGCCAAGGCCGGTAAAAGCTTGGTATGTCAGGGTGGGCAAGTGGAAAAGTGAGTTGGGCCAAGTTGAGTGTAAAAATGCCGGCTGGAGGCTGCATTTGGGCCCATTTAATTATAGTTTATTGGGGTGAAATATGTGCACCAGCAAAAGCTTTTGGGGGCACTATGAAAATGGGTTAAAGCTAATTCCCTGCAATTCTACGTAGACAACATATTTTGGAGGGCAGACTGTTGCATGATAATAACCCACAGCTTTCCTCCATATAGATGCTGAAGCTCTGCTTCCTCTCCCCTGCCACTCTGGAGGTAATGCTGAACTGCTATGCTGTTGTCCCTTCCTGTGATGAATGGATGGAATCTATCCCTCTTGAGATACATGAGGTTTGTCCTTTTCTCAATTTTCAGCTCTCTCCTTCACTGCCTGAACCACCTAATGTCCTTCTTCCCTTTCCCTCCCTGTCTCTCTGTCCCCAGGCGCACCAGGGTTTCTTTGACTCTGTCAGGCAGATGACTAGTCAGCCCCGCTCCCTGCAGCACCTGTGCCGCTGTGCTCTGCGCCGGCACTTAGGAAAAGGTATTGACGCAGCTATCAGTAGATTGGACATCCCCAGCTCTCTGATGGAGTATCTACTACTTCGGAATGACGGGGAGATCCAGTAAATAAAGTGGAACACATGGGACAGAAGCCAAGAGAGAGAATGATTTGCATTTACAATAACTAAAATAATGGTTGCAATAATTTGTGTTTTCTGTATTAATTTATTAATAAATCAACATTCTATTTTGCCTGTGAAAATGTGATACTATTTTTCTAAACTAATTTATGTTCTTGTATGAATTGTATATGTATGGACTATTGGTAGGAATGAAAAGACATCTCAGAATGTATTTACAACAACTCATACTGTATGACTCTCAACTACTGCCCAGGCTGCTTCATATGTACAGGTGAAAGCAACCACCCAATACAAGTACACTATTGGTTTAATCTGTACTCTATTTTCAGCACATGAAGGAGAGATAAGCGAGGAGAGGAAGCCACTTTTTATTATTTTAGATTTGTACCATTATTTGTTTCCTTGCTCGTGCCCGTTTGCGTGCCAGCTACACAAGAGTTGGACGTTCCAAGGAACCCTGATAGCACTAACCGACCTACGCGCTAGTGGCGTAACGTCATCTGTGTTTATGTGGCCCTCTACTCTAGTTTTATTATCGGGGCTGTGGCTAAATTAGCATGGTAGCATGTCGTCAAACATGATTTGAATACATAGCAGGTAAGCACACCTCTTATATTCTTAACTATTCAAATGCGCATATAACTGATGTGTGCATTTAATATGAACATCTATAGAAAGCATTTTGACAATGTAGAGTAGTGTGTAAAGCTAGCGAACGAAGGTCGTCCTTGTTGCTATTACTAGCTAGCTAACCTACCAATTTGTCTTCTAACGTTACCATAAACATTGAAAAAATTTACGTCTGTATCTAGCTAGTTCTCCAACGGATGCACAATGTAGTGTTAGTAGTAAACACATTAGTGGCGTGTTTTAACTGGGTTGACATTAGTTAGATAACTAGCTACGGTTTGCTAGCTAACTAGTTAGCTAGTTTTCTAGCCAACTTTTGTGACAACATTGCCAGGCCGTCACTTACGAAACGATAGACGGTTGCTTTGAAGTAGCACTTAATCTCGGTCCATGACAGTTGTAATACAGGTCTTTGTCCCTGACAGTGGTAATACAGGTCTCTGTCCCTGACAGTTGTAATACAGGTCTCTGTCCCTGACAGTGACAATACAGGTCTCTGCACATAGGCCTTCTACTCATATGTATCGATGCACTTATTTGGAAAATAGTGGTCCAGGTACAACATTAGAAATATGGAGTCTTGTGAAACTTCACTTCTCTTTTGCTTTTCAACAGACACTAAGGACAGAGATGGCGGTGTGTGCACTGACAATGGATGGGATGGGAGACGAGGTGGCTGCAGTAAGCGGTGTGTTACTCCTGGTCTTGGCCCTGGCCCTGGCTTGGCTCTCCACACAAGTGGCAGATCGGGGCGACCACATCCTGAGCACCATCCTTACAGTCGGTGCCCACGCCTCTCTAATCGGGCTGGGGGTGCATGACAGTTACGGTGGAGGGCCTCCTAGTGCAGACACGCCAGAGCAGCAAACATCTCCACCCTCCCAGGAGAACAAGCCAGAGGAGGGGGAGGCAGGGTCTGAGAGGGAAGATGGTGAGGGCACAGGAGAGGGGACTGCAGGGACTGGAGTGGACCTGCTGTTGAATATCCAGGGTAAGAAACCTCAGAGATACCAGCTTGATGATGATGATGAAGACGATGAGGAAGAGGACGACGAGGATGACTATGAGGAGGAAGAGAAGGTTCAGAAGCTGAGCCCAGTGGTCTCCTGCACCAGCATCACGGTTCGATTGAAGTTCCTGAATGACACAGAAGAGGTGGCAGTCCTGAGGCCCCAGGATACAGTGGGTCTACTGAAGAGGTTAGTATGATATGGCAGCTCTCATTATACATTTTCAGAGTTTAATCTTCTTTTTTTTAATTTTATTGAACATGCATATCTCTCCCATACAGTCTTACAGAGACATTTCTTTCTCTCCTCTAGTAAGTACTTCTCAGGGCGGGAGCGTCAGATCAAGTTGATCTACCAGGGTCAGCTGCTTCAGGATCCCAAACGGACTCTGCTCTCCCTCAACATCTCTCACAACAGTGTTATCCACTGCCATGTGTCCCAGGTGCTGCGGGAGGCCAGCCCAGAGGAGGCAGCTCGCTCTGGGGCCGGGGCTAGTGGGGGAATCAGGGCTGCAGGCCTGGCTCAGAGCACCAGCAGCCTGGTGGTGCCGGTGTTTGTGGTGATGCTAGCCGTGGTCTGGTACTTCCGCATCAACTACCGTCAGTTCTTCACTGCCCCTGCTACCATCTCCCTGGTGGGAGTCACTGTGTTCTTCAGCTTCCTCATCTTTGGGATGCACAGCCGGTGAGCGGGAGAGGAGGCAGGATGGAAGGGCCCTCATTTGGGCAGGAGAATGAGACGGAATAACAACTGTATCAGGTGGTGTCAGGGGGGCTCTGCCTCAGACACCATAGAACTCAACTGGAATCCTAAGAGTGGGTGTGCCTGTGTTTGTGCATGCACCAGCAAATAGCATTACGTGAGATTGATTGTATGTGCAGAGATTCAAGTTATCTGGAATGTGTGTTTGTTAGTATGAAGCAGAAATTATACTGAGCTGTAATTTTGCTTCTCAGAAAAACATCAATGAGTGATTGAGTGGTTCTAGCTCCTGTTGGTCTTTACAGGGTAGAACCATCAGCATCACACCCAGGACCACAGGCTGCTTGGTCCACTGTGTCAGCAATATCTTCTGCCCAGTTTGACTCCACATAGCCTGTTCTGTGTTAGGTTTCTCTCAGAAATTAGGGTCTCTATTCAATCAGATCCACTTTAGCCGTCATCCGCATAGCGGTTGTGTGGGAGGTGGAACTGTGTTAGAGCTGTCAAATCCACTGAGGTATAATAAGAACTGGAGACTGCGTCCAAGATGTCCGCCTTTTGTTTTCAAGGTTATCTACTCCCATTTGCATACGCCAATTCATGGACCGTCTATATCCGGGTTGAATCCGGTTTATACGGACCAACATCACATGCGGACTAGCGCACAGGGAGCAGCGCCGACGTCATCCAAAAACATGGCAGACGTTAGATTAATATAAAATGTTAATATCTTCTGCGATGGAAAACAAAATCGGCCTCAGATACAATAATTCAATGGATTTTTTGTGCACAAAGGTGATGACTAAAGTGTCTTATTAGGAATTTTCTAATCTGACTTCTCTATGTGGCCGTGAATGGAAATTGTCTTTCTCAGCTGACCATCAGTTAAATTGCAAAACTGTAGCCGTGCGTTGCTTTAAGAGAAATCCAATGGAGCCTTGTTTACAAGTTTGAACAATTGAATGTGAGCTGTAATCTACACCTCGATTAGGCTGATTAGAAATCCTTATTTTGTTTAATGATTTTCAATTTGAGTGTAATAATTTATATATAGCCTACACGTTCTCGTTCTGAACTTCTAACACAAGTAGGACGGGTGTGGCTTCCTGACAATGATCAAGAGCAGCAACTCACCGATTTGATAGCTCCAACGCAGTTACACTGCCAAAACATCAGCTATGCGGGTGTCAGCTATCGCCTGTTAACGCTTGATCTGATTGAATCTAGACCTAGGATAATGCAGTTCTTCACATGGCCACATACTCTTTTCATTTCATACGTGTTAATGTTCCAGAAATGTTTTGTCTTTTTGTAGTACGTGTTTGAACGAGCAAACCATTTCCTCTTTTGCAACGGAAACAAAATGACTGAAGACTTGACTCTAGAGCAACTTTGAAACCACTCGCTATGTACTGAGTGCTGGTTATATTTCTACTTTCTTTCCAGTTCTTTGGGAATGAGCTTTCACCTTAGTTATTGTGGACTGTAATGACTGCCTTAAGGCAAAACATTTTGTAAGGATTGTTGTTGCTTGAATTACTCTACGCTGATATATTGTTTAAATTAACCCTAATTAAGATAAGTTAATGCATGAAAATAAGCAACATGTTAAAGCTTTTGAAAATACTGTAAATATGTATTTACTGTACATAGATGAATGGGATGAAACCGTATCGGACACTTCAGGATTTTTGTGGGGGAATTTGACACGAGATGGAAAATCTATTTACCCCTTAAGTTTGATTGTTTTCCTCTGGCTTCAGTGCTGTGATTCAGATTAAAGACATTTGAACCAAATCGGTCCCTGTGTAAAGAGGGAGTATGTCTGATATTGGACAAAATGACAGAACGCAAGAAATCTGAATGACACTTCATTTTACTCAGACAAAGAAACCTCAGTACACATGGGAAACTGGGATACAAAGAAAACCTAGCTGTGCCTCACAATATACAATTGACTTATTTGCACATGCACACACACGTGCTTGAAAAACGTTTTTTTGAAGTCACTTTTTCTATTGCGTCATTTGTCCACACTCAAATATTGTTCAGACACGCTGATACACACAAACAGTTACGCAGCATTAGTAACACAGGCCATTCATTACCCCGTCAGTAAAGGACAAATGAAATGAGTCATACACAAAATGTGTTTTCACTTGAGAAGGTTGATTCTCTTTTAGTGCACATTAAAGTGATGCCATACTTTATCACTGGCTGAATGTTATAAATGAAAACTAAAGGTATATAAGATTCTCCCTAGCAAGTATAGTATGGTGGGCTTCTCAAACAGGTATGAATAATAATGTATATCAAACTCGTTAGCTAGAATGAAACTGAAAATGGCAAGAATAAGTGACAAACATCCCATGCAACGGCACTTCTGTTTCAAGTGGCGGCGGATTTGAATTCCTACAAGCGCATACACAATGCACGTAAGCAGAGACAGTTAAAGACTTTGAAAGCAAGTCAAGTGATGCAGATTGACCTAGAGTATTATTGAGCAAAAAGCAGGTTGACTCCACTATACTATAGCATTATTCAACAGGAAGCAATGTGAGATCTACAACTTTTAGAATGATATTGTGATTTGTAGCAGAAGCAGGTAGGAGAAACTTCAGTCTGAGTATGAAACAGTAAAGATAGACAGGGAAGAAGCACTGTTTAGCATGAAGCTGTGTAAGGTAGAGATTACCGTGTATGTATACAGTATCCAATTAAATCATGATTATTTTACATAAGTCATCATACCACATGTATAGGTATACAAAAACACACTGGCTCACTCAATGATACATGTCAGACATTAAATACACATTCTCACCTGACACAGTCAATGTAAACCAAAAACGTTAAATATTCAAAATGACACATACACTGACTCAACCACAATGTCACATTCAGAGATGCATAGTTATCTGAAAACAAATGAAATCACGCACGCCCACAACATGGAAAACAGTCAACTTTACACAACAAACATTCGTAAACACATGCACGCACACATACACCACTGTGCAATACAATGCTATTACGGATAAAGCCACCATCAAGTACCCCAATATTGGATGAAACCACAAGATGGCACTGACATCCCCACCACAATAACAACGCTGTAGTAGTAAGGTGATGCAATTAGTCCACAAGTCCCCTCCTAAACAGAGACAGAGTCAAAAATAAAGTAAATGTTTTCTGTTTTCAGGAGAAAACAGATCAGAGTGCAAAAAAGCAGTGTGATTGGTCCATGTCTGAAGCCTAAATCACTGATTAACAAAAACATAGTGAACACTCAACGACCCATGTGTCTTTATAACTGGAATTGCAAAACATTGTCTTCAACAACAAACAAATAAGAATGGCGTTCAAATTAAGGGGTGCTGTGTCCAGTTATGTGTAAAGAGAAGTTACAACCCCTGGGCTAATCAGAGCTGGTATTAATGTGTGAGTGAGTGGATGTGAGTTAATGGGTTATCATCTTTGTTTCTAAGACGACAGGTGTATCTGTACCTCTGTTAGGTAGGAGACCATGACTTGACAGGCTGGGGGAGCTGGGTAACTGGATGAAGTTTGGCTCAGAAGTCCATGTCACCATCCAGTCACCTTCCTGGGTATGGTGTGGGGGGGGGGGCAGACTAGGACTACCCTAGTTGAGGTTGTCATAGATACTGGGGGCAGGGGGAACAGGAAGCTTGGGCTTCTTCTTTCTGTTGGATAGGCCTACTAGACTACTCTGGGAGCTGCCGCCCCCTCCACTCCCACTGCCGCCCCCTCCTCCTCCTCCTGTGCTGTTTAGGCCAAGAGACGTCTTCTTCTTCTTCTTGGGCTTCTTGGAGTCTGAGTTGTTGGTGCCTGGGAGAGATCGAGAGGTGGGGGATGAGATGAGACCGACTTCCACTGTAATGAACGTACAGAATGTGGACCTGAATTCGGTTGTCTTACTAGCTTTGGAGGAGGCTGAATCGGAGGGGGAGATGTCTGAGGATCCGTCCCACTGTAGGCGACTCATGAGAACCTGTCCGTCTGAGGCGTCGTAGCAGTCACTCTCCACCATCGTGTCTGCATCGGGCAGAGACAACCTGACAGAGACAACAGCCGCTCAGATCAGACCAGATCAGACTGGCCACACAGACAGCAGCAGTACACATGGTGGAGCCATTCAATCTACCATACAGCACACTTACTGTAGTCAACTTTTTTTTTGGGGGGGGTCATTTAGCAGACGCTCTTATCCAGAGCGACGTACAGTTAGTGAGTGCATACATTTTTTCATACTGGCCCCCCATGGGAATCGAACCCACAACCCTGGCGTTGCAAGCTCCATGCTCTACCAACTGAGCTACACGGGCCATACAGTTGGCCATGAGTGCTCATACAGTAGCTAACTAACATAGTCCACTCTCATAGATAAGGCCTGTCCATCTAACTGGCACAAAACATCCACAATAAATTCAGTCATTCAATACAACAAGTCAAGCAAACACCTCTACATTTAGGGACACCACATGCACCAATCAATATATCAGTTCTAGGAATAAACCAGTCAGAGCCATTGGCGGTCTGAGGGGAGGGGGAGGGGCACACTCACGCGGACGGCCCCAGGAGGAACACCCTGACGGCCCTCCTCTGTTCGTCCGTGTGCTGGGGGCACCGCTGGGACCTGGCAGGGACACAACGTGGCATTACAAATCCCTGAGAAACACCTGCCCACAATGCACAGCGGCCCCGCCTACCCAGGGCCACGGCAGAGACAAGAGTGGGAGAGAGACAGAAACAGACATCGCCAGTGACCAATCAGATGAAGTGTCAAGAGTTTGGAGGTTAGAGGTTAATGTTTGCTCACTGACCGTGTCCAGTTACTCTCTCACCACGTAAGGCAGGCAGTGTCCAATCAGGGTCTTACATAGTCCAATTGGAAAATATCTGTTTTAGTCCAATCAAAGATGAATTGTTTCACTGAGTTCTTAACACAATTTGGTATTTTACTGAACAAAAATAAACGCAACATGCAACAATTTCAAAGATTTTACTGAGTTACAGTTCATCGAAGGAAATCAGTCAATTGAAATAAATTCATTAGGCCATAATCTATGGATTTCACATGACTGGGCAGGGGTGCAGCCATGGGTGGGCTTGGGAGGGCATAGGCCCACCCACTTGGGAGCCAGGTCCACTCCCCCTCCCCACTACTCCTCAGACGATCCTGCAGGTGAAGAAGCCGGATGTGGAGGTCCTGGGCTGGCGTGGTTACACGTGGTCTGCGGTTGTGAGGCCGGTTGGATGTACTGCCAAATTCTCTAAAATGACGTTGGAGGCAGCTTATAGTAGAGAAATAAACAAATTCTCTGGCAACAGCACTGTTGGACATTCCTGCAGTCAGCATCCCAATTGCACGCTCCCTCAAAACTTGAGACATCTGTGGCATTGTGTTGTGTGACAAAACTGCACATTGTAGAGTGGCCTTTTATTGTCCCCAGTACAAGGTGCACCTGTGTAATGATCATGCTGTTTAATCAACTTCTTGATATGCCACACATGGCAGGTGGATAGATTATCTTGGCAAAGGAGAAATACTAACAGGGATGTAAACAAATTTGTACCCAACATTTTAGAGAAATAAGCTTTTTGTGAGTATGGAAAATTTCTAGGATATTTTATTTCAGCTCATGAAAAATGGGACCAACACTTTACATGTTGCGTTTATATTTTTGTTCAGTATACATTTCTGATAAGAAAAAAAAGGCCAATAACTGACACCAATCATCTAATATGTTATAAAGGAAATGGAAAATAATTGAGAATCATATAGAGTTGCCACTTGTGTACCCCAAAAGTCAGTCCCAACTACACATGATCACAACACACCAATGAAACTGATCATGTTTAAAGATCCCACAGAAACAACATGCAGAACAATAACCATGAGTGTCTGTTGGCGGCCTCCATAACGGAGTTGGGCCACAGGTTTACCATTTGTCTGGAACACACGTCATTCATGTCACGGAAGACCTTCCTAACTAACTAGCTTAACAAACACCTCTGAGAACCTAGCAAGGTCCATACTAAGGGACAGGCTGAGGGATGGACACAGGATGTACATTGACATCAAACTTCCAGGGAGATGTCTGTCTGGCACAGTAACAACCCTGAATGGCTCATCTTGATCATAATCAGCAACTTTGACTCAAGCTAACATCTGGTGCCAGCACTTGAGAAACCAAAAGTATTAATGAGTTTGTGTGATAAAGGTATGTGTGTGCACGTGTTTACTCTGTGTATCTGACAGTACATTAGGTGGAAATGACAAGACTGTATTAGAAAGGGTGCATGTGCTGTGTCTGGCGTAATCCTTACCTGGTGCACATCTTCTTGGTGTGCTCCGAGATCACTCCACATTGCTGCAGACAGGGGGCAGTATAGTTAGAGAGACAAGCCAGTCATACACACTCCTGATAAATGTCTAGAGATTTTAGATATGATCAGATATACAGTTAGACTTGTGGATGGATGGTAGAATGGATAAATGAAAATGACTCACTGTTGTCAACAGAGACCTCAGTTCGTCAGGGCCTAAAGTTTCGTAATTGATGCCAGTGTTATAGTTGTACTGCAGTGAGGGAGAGAGAATGATAACAGACATCAACACACTTTAATAGATATGTAGTATAACAGCAAATGTGAACCAATTGATTCTGGTTACCTTGTATGGATCTGCATTGACACTACTACTAAGCTCCCCTGAAAAAGAGAACAGCACATGATCTATCAGTCTACTTGCCACTGACTCCCAAAGACACAGATGATGCACACAACCACCACCAACCATGAAATATAGCAGTGATTACATTTAGTGAAATATCCACAATCTGAGCTCTGTGGGAAAAAAAACAATATTACACAGCAAACTATTGATTCCTATGCCTGAGAAAACATACTATGTAAATTGACACTTTATGATAGGATAAAGCAAAGTTCTCTCCAGCTATTGACCAGTGTGGTAAGAGTACATAATTGATCATAATGTACATGCTTCCATAGCATGCATATTTATGCATAAGCATAAGGCAAAATATATGTTAATGGTTTAATCCATCTGTATGCGATTGAAATTGAGCAGCACTTTAAGGACCAAAGCCACAAATGACAGGTCAATCAAACTGGGGTGGTTTGAGTTCAGGTCATTTATTACATTGGAACATCCTTGACCCTCCATAAAAGATAGCAGCAACCGTTTCATTTCAGCTCCTTTTTAAGAATCATGGACAATCAGGAAATCAAGAATCAATGAAGACATGATACAAAACGACAAAAATTAAAATAAATGCAAACAAAAGCATGAATATGTCAAGTAGATAATGGATAGGATAACGCACAAGAGGACTTGTTGAGGCACCTGAGAAACTAAGTGATAAGCAGCTGGTCTGCTTTAGAGACATGACTGTAGTCTGTATCATTACTGGGACCAGACTATCATCTGACATGATATTTTCACTCAAGTGCTGAACAAGTTAAACAATACATAAAATAAATGATATATTACATGCACAGAACTGAAAACTAGAAGCTGAACTGTGATTTATTGCACACAATTGTCAGCTTCCTGTATGTCATTCTGAGCTCATTAGCTTTGCACCATGATCAATGTCAAATTAAAATCATCAAGTAAACAGGAGATTGTGGAGCACGAAGTCGGCCTTCGCCATTTATCTTAATGGCTTTTCCTCCTCTTCAATGCTGCTTCTGATCCTTTTCATACTGTACTACGTCTGTAGTCTGCTAACATTGTGCATTTGACCTGGACTTAAGCGGCAGACTCTTTCAATGGCCATCTATCCAGAAGAATCCAGAAGGCTGCATGAACAGTTTTCAATAGAGGATTTGGGAGATACCTTGGGTCTCTGTTAAGGTTAATTTCCTTTCCTTAGGAATGAAAGTTCAAACTCCAGGCACTCTTTTCCTGATATACTATCCCTAAAAACGGCAGGGTTCTTTCCCAGATTCTTCTTGTGTTGACCTTTGACCCTAGATTGAAGTGGGGCAGGGCATTATAGAGCTGGCCTGGCAGTCATCAGCCCCTTCCGATCACTGAGGAAGTGCATCATCTCTCAACAGCACGCATGGAGCTTCCTGATCTGCAACACAAGGCTTTGGTCCCAGCAATGCTGAAACGACCAGAGTGTAAAACATCCCCAACCATTCAGCCAACTACTTTCGCGCACACAAACACACACAAAGTAGGGCTATAAATTGGGTGTATTCAGGAGTGGGCTCTATGTTCTACTTCACCTACACACTTCCATTTCAAGGGTACAGAGAGTCTGAACACTAGAACATTCTAGCTCCCAACAAACAACAAAACACCATGAGACCATATACATATAATATTCTGTACATCAGAATGCATTATATAAACAGAAATGTATGTAATTTAGTATGAATATCAGTTTGAATTTTAGTAAAATAAAAGCTGATTGAGAACTGATATTGACAAATGACATTTAAAGAGGCAATCTGCAGTTGCTACATCCATTTTATGATTTATAAATTAATGATATGTACCCATTGATTCTTGAAGAATTTAACTTAGAAATAGTTAAACTGTCGCACCCCATCAGAACCCAACATATAAGCTTGTTGTACTCCAATGTTTGTAAACAAAGTAAACAAACACTATATAGCCTCAAAACATGGTTAAAACTATAACTTTGATATCATGGATGGTCAGTCCTTGCATCCATAGCACGGTCTATTAATTTGAGTGTCAAAAAATGTCTACCACAATCCCTCAGCTTTTTACAGAAAAAGGGGCGGGGAGCACACTTTTATTGTTTTAACTGCTGATTGCCACTTCAAGATTAAAAAAGAAAAATGCCATTCTAATCATGTGTTTCAATTGGCAAATCTTTCCATTCCAGGTGGGAAATGCATTATGCAGTCAGGATTCAGGAATTTTAGATGACACATAGCTTATAGTTTGTCACTTCACCTGCATCTTACATGGGTTCAAAGAGGTATACTCACCATTTTTATGCTTTAGAGATTTAGATCTTCTGGGTGAATTTGGATTCTAAATAAATAATACACAAAAGAGAAGAACTGTCAATTTAGATAAACACTGATCTAGATTAACATATCACAAACAACTAGTGAGGCATGCAACAGGAAAAGTGAAGCACACACCCCTTGATCCAATTTAATTTGCAAAAATCAAAAAAAGTTCATCCTTGCCATGCTTGTAAGCAGAAAGTAGGGCTGTGACCATACCAGTATGGCAATATTCTTTCTATGGGAAAAATTAAAACATGAAGCAGACCAAACCTTTTGGTCCTTTAAAAAGCTGCTGTTTGTAAAATGTGCGCTATAGCTTGTAAAATAAATAAATGTGACTGGTTGACAACTTAATGTTTGTTTCCAACATTAGGGCTGTTTTCCTAAATAAGTTAAATCCGCTTTGTGTTTTGTTTCCTTGCCACGATACTAACGATTAACGCGATACTGGTATAGTCCCGGCCCTAGCACAAAGGTAGAAAGGACAAAGGAATACCAGAAATCCTTAAGGTTATTTTTTAGCTATTGGCTCCCTTGTAATTACATGTGGACAAAAACACGACATACAAAACATGAATAAATATCTCAACAGCAATGAAACTTACCAAAGGTACATGTTGTTTCAAAGAATGTAAAAATACCTTATCTGACTTTCTCTTCTTAGCTGTAGAGGGAAAATAGAGGGGTGTAAGACAAGCATAGATGTGTTTGTTCAGCTAAAGTCACATACATTTATTTATTTTTAAACGTGCCTTTAATACTGACAACATTCAGACAGTGTTTGACACTTGTTTAATTCTCACCTTTTTTTTCTGAGCCATATGACCAGTCATTGTCATTGACGTCATCATTGTCTTCCTGATCACTCTCCGATTTGTTGTTCATGTTGTTACTGCTTGCTATTCTGTAGACCAATATCAAGAAAATGATCAGAATTGCCAACTCACTTGCGGACTGTATTGGTTTGTTTTCTATATGTTACATTGTAGTGTAGTGTCCACTGTCCATGTCCAGTGCCCCTTGCTGACCTGCGGTTGGCGATGCGGCTGCTGTTGCGCCCCATGCCCAGGCATTTCTCTAGATGAGGGGCAAAGCGGGACGCAGCAATGCTCCGGTTGCAGTTGGGACACACACACTCCTTGTTCTTCCACTGATTGTATACTTGCCCGAAAATATCCACTCCTGGTTGGTCAACGATTTCTACGGAGCAAGGCGAGAACATACATGAAAGATAAACTAACAAAAGAAAGGCAGAGAGATGAACCAGATAACCAGACCCAGGAGGAAGCACTCTCTGGTACTAACCGAAGTCCTTCATGCTCTCTTGGTCAGTGTCATCCAGGAAGAAGTAGCCCTGTTTGACAGCACGATGCACTTCGAAACACAGGCCCAAACAGGCGTCCTCCACCAGGTCCGAGTAGATGTCCTGAGCCAAGGCCTGTGGAGGGCAACAAAAACAAACTACATGAGCAACTTCCTGTTTTAAAGTAGGACAACAACTACCAACCATGCTAGGATGGTAAAAGTGTAGTCCACTACTCACCTCTAGCTTGGTGTTGTCCAGGCCCGACAGAGACATATCCTCCATTTTCATTTGCAAAAATTTAAGGGTGAATCACTGCCTTCTACATGGCACAGTTATGGGGGGAAAACACAGCTGAAAACAGGAAATACACACATAGCGATTTAAAAATTCATTCAAACAAATACAAATAAGTGATGAGACAAGAGATTATCCATTTGTTGGACAAAACCCAAGAAAAGCCCCTGAGTGAGACTATCAACACTTACAAAGGAGCACCGACACTCAGTTAAGACCTCTTCTTCGCGAATAGTTGGCAGAGGTGCCTGGTATTGTTTTGGTTAGCTGTTGAAACAAATAAACAAATACATTTCACTAGATTTGTAAATTTGGTGTTGCGGCTACACAATACAAGACAGAATCAGAACAAAAACGAAAGTAAAGCTAGACTGGCTAGCTCCTAACGTTACGTGCTAGCTAGCTAGTGCTAACGTTAGATATTAGCTAGGATAGAACGCAGTAAAAACTGATAGCTAACTATCTATCTAGATAGCAAAACAACAAATATTTTCTTAATATCTGCTACAGATAGCTAAAACATAGCTCGTTAACAAATCAGCTCATTGCATATAATCTTACTAATAAGGGTACGTACAATTAAATTATTTCTTTACAGAGACGATCATACTGGTCAGCTCACACTCACCATCAACGACCAATCTATGACTGAACCGTTAGCAGTTACAGTTTAGCTGGACATTGACAGAGATTCTCTTGCTACATTGTATCTAGCTAGGATGATACATGTTGTTGTAGCTACTAGCTAGTCATTTAAATGTGATCCAACAGCGCAGTCAAAGGGAAATGATAAGAAAATGTAAAAAGAGGCTGCCATTTTCCTTCTAAAACAGACCTCACCAAACGATCACCGAGGTCTCCGTAACATTTTACTTGGCCAAAAGTAGGAAAAACTGGCAGAGAAATGCAAATATAATTTCTAATCAACTCTATTGACTGTACTTAAGTACATACATTTAATTTATAATTGGATATGTAATAATTAAATAGAAAAAACCTTGGACGTCTGGAATTGCCCCTTCTCGTGAGTGGCTATTTGTGATTGACGTGCAAAGGGAAGAGGTCAAATAATCACAGTTATCCTTTATCGATTAGTTCTCATGAAACACAACCAAATCACAGATTAGAGGGTATAGGTAGTTGTAATCTTTGACGAAATTCTAATTTAGACATCTTTTTAGGACACTATTGTTTGGTCAGCATTTCGAACATATTATTTGAAGGGTCCCACTATTTGGCAAGTGTCTTCAATCAACATCCATCACAAATTTACATTTACATTTTAGTCATTTAGCAGACGCTCTTATCCAGAGCGACTTACAGTTAGTGAGTGCATAAAAAAAAAAAAACATACTGGCCCCCCGTGGGAATCGAACCCACAACCCTGGAGTTGCAAGCGCCATGCTCTACCAACTGAGCCTACAATCATTTGTAAAAATAAGAAATGCAATATGTATACTTTGTTAAAGACCAAGTTTATTTGTCAAATACTTAAATAGCAGGGACATAAGAACACCCTCAGCTATAGAAAACATCAAAAATGTGTCAAATGATCAGCAGTACAAATCTGTAAAGCCTTTGTTCTCATTTAGTCATTTATACAAAGAAACATGGGGAGAGATGTAATAACTAAAACGGACAAATACAATCAAAAACTTTTCCCCTGCAAGCAATGGACTCACGCCTCAGATGGAGCCACTGACAAGACTTTGCCAAATCAAAGTACAAATCAAAGTATTTCCACACAATACAAAAAAGCAATATTTACAAATACCATACAACAGTATGTTGTATCCCCATTGGCAACGCCTTTCCCCAAATCCAGTATCCCACCCTGCATAACATTTCCTTCACCAAATCATATATAGCCCAACATGCTGGTATTATTCAGTCAACAATTATGAGATGTAGAAATGGACAAACTCAGTCCCATTTAAAACTGGGGCCATTATTAACCGATTGTACTGTCCTGGAAACAAGTTAAACTTATGACATAACCTGTCCCGTGGGTCGTCTAACACATATGTCCTTGTGCTGGTAAGCAACAGGACCACACTGAGCAGACATGACTCGGCTTCAATCATTTTGAGAAAAGGGCATAAAAAACATCTACATTCAAGGTGTTTGTGTGGTAATGGGATGAGAAGTGCCTCCTACACCCACGCAGGCACATACATCCTTCACAGGTTGCAGTCCGGTGCAAACTAGTTCACTGCCCCTCAAGGATTTAAAAGCATGCGACTGGTGTAAGAAACATTTTGGGAACTCCGTCTAGCCCATTCTCACACCAAGCAAATGTTTTTTCATCCTTGGGGAGTGGAGAAGTACACACATGGAGGAAGGTAGATAATCGAACAGCAGCCACAGTCAAACACAGGATGCAGACAACACACACCAATGCAGTCGCTCTCACAAACGTAGGGGCTGAACAGATGACTGTTGAACACAGGAAGTATGGGACAGGCTTTCATTAAGTGCAAAGCTTTTTGGGGATAATCAGACTAAAAGAATATCGGGGTAGGGGTCAATTTAATTTGAATTAAATAACTAAATGGATCCATTTCAATCCATCCCTGATTTCAAATGGAACTGACCACAGCCCTCAACATTATTAAAACAAATTCATTAAATCACCTATACATCAAATAGAAGTGTAAAACAGTGGTTCAAGGAAGAAATCAACACCAATATTAAATTGTACAACATAGTCTGTTTAAAACATACTTGGACTTAAATCTCATATCTCCAGTCCGGGCAAAAATAACAACTAAGTGTGTCGATTAACGATAAATTCCTTTGATACCACTAAGAAACATTCATTATTTATACTGTTCCAACAGGCCAGTGGATGAACAAATCTAAACTGGAAAATCAACATGAGAACCAACATGAGTCAAACAGAATTGTCTTGGACTTGCTCCACAAAGACCCTTGAAATTGTCCCCAAAAAAGGTTGGATGCATTTCTATGTAGAATAAATAAATAGACTGTCAGTCACCTTTGAACTTGAACACCTGTCAAAGGCAGGTAAAAGGCATGTTTCTAAATGCATCCAAATCTAACTGAAACTGTGGATGAATACATCTCCTCTAAATTTCCAGCAACAAAAAGAGACATTCATAATGGCTTAATTTTTCCTGAAGATACCACCTCGTTAAGAACCTAATAATAAAAACATACAAATTGAGAGTAGAAAGAAAGTTGAGAGGCGCTGAAGAACCAAAGACTAAAGGAAACATTTCTCAAGAGTGCAATTATTTGGTCCCCTGCAACCCCCACCCCAAAATAATCCCCCAGACAAATAGATAGGTTCTTTGGCTCTAGGAGGCCTGTTCACAACTCCCCACTACCCAACCTTCCTCCTTTGTAACCGTGGCCTCTAGTATCTGACACAGACTTACACTGACAAAGCAGGATGGGGCCAAAATCAACAGTCACCCAAAAATAGCTATTTAGAAACCTATTAGCCACAGAATGTAGAAAGGAAGCCAAATGTCCCAACGCGCTTTAGATTGGACCCACCTGAACCCAGCGTTTTGTGGGCTGGGCAGGGGAGCAGGTCAAGGTGGGGTTGAAGGAATAACAGATGATGGGCATGATGTGGTGGTGTTAGGGTCTTCACCCTCCTTGTACAGAACACCAATGAAGAAACACAGGAGAGAGAAAGCGTGTGAGAAATGGACATGGTGGTGCAGGGGCTCCCTCTGGTGGTGGGTGGTGAGGAGAGCAGGGTCAGCACAGTGTCAGCGCTCCCTGGACTCTTGGCTCAGCTCAGCGCTGCTCAGTCTCTCTTGGGTCACAACGGACCAGTGTTTCAGTCTGAATCAGAGTCCGACGTCGCCACTGAGCTCGAATCACTGCTGCTACTCCCCTCTGACTTGTTCTCCTTATCCTCCGCCTCCTCATCGTCATCATCGTCTTCTTCATTCTGCAAGAGGTGTCGCACAACAACAAGGAAGTTAGCCTCATGTCAGTCAAGGGCACCATTATAATTTGCAACAGCAATGATGAATTTCACACAAGTCTGAAAACTGACATTGTCGTCATCATCGTCGTCGTCTTCCTCCTCACTGTCCTCTGCACTGGATGAATCGTTATCTGATGAGGCAGCCTCCTTCTCTTCCTCCTCATCATCATCATCATCCTCATCCTCTGTGTCCTGGGGGAAGATTGATTGTCAGAGATGAATGATGTTTGACTTAGTAGAGCAGAGTGGTAAAAGTAGAGTGGTAATGATAAACAAAACTGAACAGAGCTGTGACTTACCGACTTCTTGGTTACCTTGGCCTTAACTTTGGCTGCAGTGCCTCCTGGTTTTGCTGGGGTTTTTCTTTTCTGAGGAAGACAATAGGAGATTAAGATTAACACTCAGTTTGTTTACATGTTAATTTGCCAGCAACTACAGGGAGAGTTTGTGATAACTCTCACTCTAAGGCATAATAGAATAGCATGGACAACTTACTTGTGAGTTGTACTCCTTGTACGTGTTTCTTTCTTGTGAGGACAAGCTCTGTGAAAGAAGGGACATTTTAGTTAGTCAGGTCATTACAGGCACACAACTGCTAGGATGTTCAATGCACTCAGTGTCTGCTACAAATCAAAGATGGCGTACCGCTAGCCACCGCTCCAGCTCTACTTTGTACAGCTTCTGTTTCTCCTCAGCGATCTTCTTGTAGCGGTCTTTCTCCTTCTGCGGCTGCCTCTGCCAGCGGCCCCCGATCTCCCCCATGCGCTCCTTCATAGGGAGGTGGTTCAGCTCCCCGTTGGACAGCATCTCCTGAGAGAACTTCTGGTAGCCATTCCTGAAAGGTACATTGGTGAACAGATTGAAGTAAGTTTCTCAAAAACAAAAATACAGACAGAAACACTCCATCAGAAATACACTCACGATGGGGGTTTCTTGGGTTCACCGTCAAATTTCATCTTCTTCCCTGAGGCAATGATGGTGGCAGGAGAGCGCATCTCACTCAGTTCCCTCTGTCAGAAAAATAAAGAGTGCACTTAAATCTCTGGGACTCACCTCTGCCTTTTAGACACATGGGTTTCCACTTACCTCATATCGTTTCTGGTCCTCAGCTGCCTTCTTGATCCACATGATCTTCTCCTTCTTCTCCATGGTGTTCCAAGTGGCTTCCATGGCTTTCTGGGCTTTTGGCCGGTCGTTCTGTAAAGCACAGGAGGAATGAGGCAGATAGTCAGGACAAGGGGAGGAGGAGGAGTTGACATGCTTTAAAGGCAGTCCTGATCCAAGGCCTTGTGAAGGCTGTAGTTGGGTCACCAACCTTGAACCTGGCCAGGTAGTCTCCTATGACGCTCTGCTGCCAGATGTCCTGTGCAGTCTTGGGGGTGTCTGGCAGCCGGCTGCGCTCCTCTTGTCCCTTCTTCACAGACTCTGCCTTCAGGACCGTCTCAAGACGCTTGTACTTCTCCTACAGGGGGAAGACAACGTCAGTTATTTAGCCAACAATCACAGGTAGAGGCTGAAACCAGAAATCCCCTTTCATCGACACAAGCCGATGCCATATGAGATATATATATATATATATATATATAGTTTTCACACACTGTTGCTGGTATTTTGGCCCATTCCTCCATGCAGATCTCCTCTAGAGCAGTGATGTTTTGGGGCTGTCGCTGGGCAACACGGACTTTCAACTCCCTCCAAAGATTTTCTATGGGGTTGAGATCTGGAGACTCCAGGACCTTGAAATGCTTCTTACGAAGCCACTCCTTCGTTGCCCGGGCGGTGTGTTTGGGATCATTGTCATGCTGAAAGACCCAGCCACGTTTCATTTTCAATGCCCTTGCTGATGGAAGGAGGTTTTCACTCAAAATCTCAAGATACATGGCCCCATTCATTCTTTCCTTTACACGGATCAGTCGTCCTGGTCCCTTTGCAGAAAAACAGCCCCAAAGTATGATGTTTTCACTCCCATGCTTCACAGTAGGTATGGTGTTCTTTGGATGCAACTCAGCATTCTTTGTCCTCCAAACACGACGAGTTGAGTTTTTACCAAAAAGTTATATTTTGGTTTCATCTGACCATATGACATTCTCCCAATCCTCTTCTGGATGCACTCTAGCAAACTTCAGACGGGCCTGGACATGTACTGGCTTAAGCAGGGGGACACGTCTAGCACTGCAGGATTTGAATCCCTGGCGGCGTAGTGTGTTACTGATGGTAGGTTTGTTACTTTGGTCCCAGCTCTCTGCAGGTCATTCACTAGGTCCCCCCGTGTGGTTCTGGGATTTTTGCTCACCGTTCTTGTTATCATTTTGACCCCACGGGGTGAGATCTTGCGTGGAGCCCCAGATCGAGGGAGATTATCAGTGGTCTTGTATGTCTTCCATTTCCTAATAATTGCTCCCACAGTTGATTTCTTCAAACCAAGCTGCTTACCTATTGCAGATTCAGTCTTCCCAGCCTGGTGCAGGTCTACAATTTTGTTTCTGGTGTCCTTTGACAGCTCTTTGGTCTTGGCCATAGTGGAGTTTGGAGTGTGACTGTTTGAGGTTGTGGACAGGTGTCTTTTATACTGATAACAAGTTCAAACATGCGGTCATGCATTGTACTGCATATACTGCATCATACTGCTCAGAACCCTCCCTCAGCTGCACTATGGTAGTGTGTATTAAACTGAGGTGTGTACCTTCTTCTTATCTGAGAGCTCATTCCACATGCGTGCCAGCAGCCTGGTGAGCTCACTGTCAGACAGGTCTGGTCGCTCCTGCTGCAGCTTGGGCCGTTTCTCTTCAGAGAAGATGAACATGGCCGAGATGGGCCTTTTGGGCTTCTCTGGACTAGGCTGCAATTTAAGCGATGGGAGCTTTTTTCAATTCAATACAACTTTATTGATCCCCTCTGAAATAATGCATACTATGGTCAATATCTATTGTCTGAGATTGATCAAATTACAGTCATCTCCATTTCATACTTCTTTATGATTGTTATTGTGAAATGTGCGGAGCTGATGATGTGAGTGATACTGATGCATTGTGGGGATTACCTTTGCTCTGCTCTTCTTTTTGCTTCCCCCGCTGCCCTTCTTAAAGCCAATCATCTTCTGCTCCCCCAGCACACGCTGCTGCTCCTCCTCTGATATACTCTGCAGACAGACACTGAGTAAATAACATACATACTGCCTCTGCTCTCATTCACTAGATATATAGAAATAGACACACAGACATGTAGAAAAACAAACTTACACAAAGAAACCGGTTCATCTCGACTTCGTATTCTTTCTTTCTCTGAAAAACAGAATTTTGAAAACTTGAGCGTTGAAGACTTGACAGTAGGTCCAAAAAGTCAATGTTGGAGTGAACAGTCCACCTGCTAGTGAAGTACAGACCTGCTCGCAGCGTTTCTGGTAGGCGTCCTTCTCGTTCTGTTTCAGCAGCTTCCACTGCTGGCTGCACATGACCATGCGCTCTGTACTGGGCACGTCCTTCATACTGGACATCAACTCAGCACAGAACATGGAGTAACCATTCCTAAAAAACACACAGAGTACACAACACGGTCACAACTTTCCTCACCATGTCCAGTTAACACAGTGTGATCACCCAGTGGTAAGATTAAAAGTGTGCTGGTGGGGATTAGTACTCACGGAGGTGGTTTGTCCGGCCTGCCATCAGATTTGTCCTTCAGATGTCTCTCAGCCTTGGTGAGGGTGGACTTGACGATGTCCTCGTTGCTCATGTTGAGCTCTGGGTGCGTCTCAATGAAGCCCTTCATCACCTCCTGTGGAAAACAACCAGGGGTCATGGGTTAACAATTAATTAATCCTCTCGAAAATACCAAAGTCAGGCAGTAATTTTGCCATCTTCAGAGACTTGTGCCTCATATTTAACTGTGCTCTCACCTCATATGCTTTGTGCATCTCCAGGGACTTAGCAATCCACTTGAGTCTCTTTTTGTCTGACAGCTGTGTCCACTGCTTCCCAAGACTATCTTTAATGTCTTTGGTGGTCGCCTAGTAACAGACAGATTCAACAACATATACATTGCTTCAGATGGACATAGTTCAACTTTAGCATGTTAGCATTGAGTGTGAACATTGTGTTTTTGTAGGTGCTAACAAACAGTCCTGAAAAGCTTGACTCACGTCTGCATGCGTTTTGAGGAAGGCCTTCTTCTCGTGGCTGTACCATAGCTGCTGAGGCGTCCTGGGTTTCTCTGGTACATTAGAACCTTTCTTTGCCATGCTCTCCACCAGGTCGGGATGGTCCTCCCTATAGTCACACAGAAACACACTGGCTACTGTACATGTACTAATCAAGCAAAATAAAACACATTCAACACAATGGAGAAAATCCTACACCCCCTTCAAAGATGTATATTTACTCCAGTTGCAGATAACCTACATTTGAACCTTACCTGAACTTTGACATGCTGTGCCCAAACGTTTCTTTGTCTTTCTGGAAGTCTTCTAGATATTTTTTCTGTTGTCAAAAAAAACAAAACAAGGCACAGACAACCATGAGCAACGTCAGCAAATTACTCCGCTCAAATAAATTATATCTACCAAGGAGGACATATTCTCCCATTCCAAGTGTCACTATATCCCTCCCTCCCTTTAATTGCATCTCTTCCTTTCCTTCCCACTCTGTCACTGCTTCTGACCTTCTTTTTGTCAGGCAGCCCTCTGTATTTCATGGAGAGGATCTTGGTGAGGTCTAGGTTGCTCATCTCAGGGTGCAGCTTGGCATACTTGGCCCTCTTCTCAATGAAGAAGCGGAAATATGGCGTCAGGGGCTTTTTGGGGAAATCTGGATGCTTCTGTTCAGTAAAAAATAAAACCAAAAGAACATTCGAAAGAACAATACTCAATATGAGCAAAACGACACACAAAGACAGTTAGTCATCACATGACTGAATTTGCTAAGACAATGTGTTACCTGTGAAAGTATCAACTGATAGTGTCCATCATAAAAATATGATATGCGGCTCACCTTCAGCTTCTTGCCCTTATACGGGTTCTTGATGAAGTCTTGGGCATCGAAAATCAGCTCTGTTAATGTGCGGAATTTACGGATCTGAACCAAAGACACAGAACAACATAAGACGCATTGCAGAGGCAAGATGCAGTATGTACATATTGAACTGACAAGAGTTGGAAATCCACTTTTATTCTCTAATACACAATACCCCAGTCCACAGTATAGCATGATAGAGACATCGCGTACCACTTTGGAGACCTCGTTCCACTTCTGTTTGCACATCTCTCCTGTGAATGAGTTGAAGGCCACCTTCTCCCAGTCCAGATGGGACTCCGACGTCTTGTACTTGGCCAGGTCCTTCTGGGGAAGATTGACTTTCATGGCCTCTAGCAGATTCAAAAGGTCGTCCTGCGTCCACACTATAGCCACGCAAGGACACACATATCAGCTTGCCTGCCCTGCAACCATTATCCTGGCTGAAGTGAACAAAATCATGAATCTCTCTATTTTGCACCATATTCTGAAGGGGATGGAAGGAAGAAGTTCCATGTTGCGACTATATCTCACCTTGATTGACTACTATGATCTCACGTTGATTGACTATGATCTCACCTTGGTCTTTAGTGGACGGGTCCATTTCTCCATTCATCTGTACTTTATTTTACCTAAACATAAACAGATCCTATTAAAACACTATCCCTTTCTTTTAAAAGGCTGGGAATAATATACAAGGTGCGGCCCCTAGCTCAGTTGGTAGAGCATGGCGCTTGCAACACCAGGGTTGTGGCTTCGATTCCCACGGGGGGCCAGTATGAAAATGTATGCACTCACTAACTATAAGTCGCTATGGATAACAACGTCTGCTAAATGACTAAAATGTAAATGTGCGGTGAGTCATTGTTAATCTTACCAACAATTTACTCTCACTACTGTGCCAGCAAAAAAATTATACACAGGAGACATAATATCCAAGTTTCCTATGCACACAAAGCATAAGCCTAATGCATGCAAATGCCTTGTAACAGAAAACTACTTTGGCCAATGATATGCCTTGTGATATTAGGAAATATCTGGAAAAAATAATTATTGCAGGTTACACAAATTTTAAATGGCATTGGTTTGCGCTTAAAGTGAATATAATTCGACTAGTATATTTGTTTGCATATTACAATAAATTGGTGTAAAATATGATTCTGAAAACAAGATTTATTGGACAGAGATTATTCGATTGCTTTTATTCATTACATCAACGTCAAAGATGATTCCAAACAAGCTATTAGGTAAGAAATTCCAGCCTTTTCAAATCCTGGAAATTAAAATCGACCTCGACATGATGGTTATTAATGTTTATTATACCGCCCCTAAACGTTTACGCTACATCGTGAGACAGGCTATAGCTTGTGACGGTTTCACATCTCAAATAACACCACAGAAGCCTACGACTGGTAATGCTCTCTGTATGTCGATTTGGAAAATAGGCTAGCTTATTCTACATTAAAGTAGCTACTCATTTTGCTTTCTGTCGACCATGTCTTCTGTCGGTCGGTAATGGAGGATTTAATCGGAGTGGTGGTGGGGAGGTACCACAGAAGGAGGAAGCGAACGTTTAGAGGCAGCTGTAGGCAACCAGCTGACAATGGACGGGAGATCCGCTTTCGGTCTCCGACGAGGAGGAAATGGTGGCAAGGGAGCATTACTACCAAATGAACCACTCGACAAAGCCACACTACCAACATTGAGCTGGAAGAGAAACCTTCCTCCGCCTTGAATCTATCGGCCGACTCTTGTGAGGGGCTAGAGGGAGAAATATTACGCTTTATAATAAATTAAATTGTTGGGCTTCGTCCTCCGAGACCCGTTTCTAGGCATTAATCGTTTTAGTATAGCAGCGGGCAACCATAATCAAACCGAAAAAGCAGGACATTCTTGCGCGAGGCGTAACCGGATTTCGGATATGTGATGGCGACTCTGAAGTCTGCACCCAGCCTGTTTCCCGGTTCTTGGTGATATAGTACGCACGAGCTTGTGTTGGACTGCCAGTGTGTTTAAGGGGGGATACAACTATCGCTGGTCTAACGATGCGTTTAAAACAGTGGTTGGACATAGGTAGCTAGTGTCACAAATCAATGCAATTTATGGGAAATTCAAAAGTAATATCCTGGTATGATAAAATGGTTTGGGTGGTCCACAAACTCCAACGACCGCGCTAGCTAGCTGCAACCGCACTACTCTGGTTCAATGCAAGGGTTAGCTAGCTGCTAACTCGCTAGCTAGCTATATTATGTTAGCAGCCATCAGATTAACATTAATTTACAACAATATATGAAATTGTTGGCCAACACGGTGGCCACCTGCGAAAATACTCAAATGACAACTAAATTGCGGGTAACAATCTATACATTTTAAAGTTTAAGAAGGTAACTAGTTAGCTAAATATAAAACATGAAAACCACCAGACCAGTCAACTTTTATGCTAGCTAAAGCTTGGCTAACTTCAGGGGATTCACAATGGAGAAGGATTTACGTTTTATTTTGTATATACATTTAGGGTGCAATCAATATAGCAGGTAATGTTAACTAGCTAAATACATTTTTAATTGGTCGGTAAAAATATTATGTATTTGCCTAACGTTAATAGTTTTGCATTAACCTATAGGAAAAAAATCCAGTTCCAAACGCCTGCGACCCGAACATTGACCTCGTCTCCATGAAAGGGAATCTGTAGAAAATCATTAATCAGACAGACAAATTCACTGTTGTGTTTCTTGAAAATCGACGATTAAAATGAACAAACTCACCCTGAAACGGTTCTGTTCACCCCGACTTTTCTTTCAGCTGTCGTTGAACACGGGGTAAACCAGATTTTGTAGCCGTGTGGCGAGGATGGGTCGTGAAGACTGAGGCACACGAATGAAGAAAAAGGGAAATAAATTATAACAATCTTCGCTAATCGTCAGAACTGAAATACGGATACAGAACTAAAATCTCTCATCATTCACAAGGTTTCAATCCGCGGTTACATTGTATCAAGTTGTCACCACACAGAATGAAACATTTTTACATCCGAGACTGCAAATGGTTCTAGAGCCGCCATGCTACAGGCAAAGCGCGAGTCAGTTAGGATACCGACCGTGACAAGCTCCTATGGCGCACTACATGCTTAGCAAGAAACGGGGTTTAAAGTAAGCCTGGGTGTGCAACTAACCAGACCCACACCAGGATCATAGGCTATAACAGTACCAAAGACTGGTTTTCGCAGGTTGGCATTGATGGTTGTTAAGCGAGATCGAGGGCGAGCCCACACGGTGAGATATTAAACTGAGATCCATGATGGCTAACCAGAGAGGCGGCTGATTCTGTCAACAACCGCATGGAGATCTCGGCGCGGAAATAGTCAATTCTTAGCAGAAAATAAGATACATTGGTGAATTAAATGCCAAATTGACGGTGGTCCATAATCAAGGCATATGTTGTCAATTTATACCATATTATTTAGACCCTATAGTTCGCATTTCTTACCCGTGGTAAAGGACAACAAATTCGGGTATGGCGACCTCGGAATTGGTCTACCCTACAGCAGTCAGTGCTTTGCTAACAATTCAAGATGAGGCGTTTTTAAAATTATTAAAGGGAGAAAATAAACCATACTGAGCGTAAATTATTTGCTGGAAAGTCGTTTGTGGAAGTATTTTTTTATATATATTTTGAGCATTCGAATTGACGAAGGAGGTGGCTGTGAGCCTTACCTGTCTCAGCGTGAGTCGAGCTCGTTGTGGAGCAAGGGTTGGGTTGAATGTTAGCCAGCACTGCGCCGCCGGTCCAGGGCACAGGCGCTCCAGTCCCCGCAGAGATGGGAACTTCCCCCCGCCTCCATCTCACTTGCTTTCTCCTTCCACTCAACACGCAGCTCTCTCGATCCGACCATTTCTCTTAGCAAAGACATCCGCATTTTCGATCTCTCCCCCGCTGCCGAACGCATCACCCACAGCCATACTATTTTTCCACATTTAGCTCTCCGACCCCGCCGAGGACAATGAGCCAGTGCAAATATTTTTAGACTACCGGTACTTTAGTAAAAGTTAATTGTCCCAGACAGCTGCCTATATCTAAGTGGAACTTTATTCAGCTAATGTTGTTACATCAAAGTAATTTCACTAATTATAGAATAATAACTATAACATTTAATAACAATCTGCAATGTTTAGGCCTACTGAACATTTGGAGGAAAAAAGTGTCATAAACATATATTCATGCCAGCGCTAACTCTGCTGACCGATTGCGAAAACGAAACAGATACTAGAATCGTATTCCATGGATAGGCCTATACTTTTAGTGGTGCTGCTATTTGCAAAGTCTAGCAGGCTATTTGACGGCTTCATTTTCCCACTCATGTAATTTCTTCCAACTCCACCTTGTCAGTTTGTGGGCGTAACCCAGCCATCCAATCCAGACAGCCAGATCCATTGAAAACAAAGGACTTTCCAATGAGCGCACTGCCTCGTTAAACCGCGTTGGAGTGGCGCCCTTCTCAGCGCTCCTGTGGACCAGCACTGTCAGCCCTCCTCCCATTGATGAATAAAGTGGTCTTAAATTAAGAAATTAAATGGTTTTGAGTCAAATTTAAAATGTATTTAATTGGTAGGGTGGTGAAAATCAAAACAGCAGTTGTACAGTGATTCAAGCACACATCAACGTACAATAAACCAAATATACAGCTGTCCTTTTACACCTCTCCCTGATCGATGATAAAATTGTGTAATAGTCCTATAGTCAGATCTTATTGCTGTGATTCATTTGTCATATTTACACATTTCTCCGCCTCCACATCATCATAATATTGTTACAATTCATTCAGCGATTAATCAATCAATTTCCTATATGTATCCCTCCCACCTTTGCAATCCTGAAAGCATTACATCCTGAGGTAAATATGTATTTGGGTATAAGGACTGTGAATGAGTGACACCACTGGACACCCAAAAATAGAACTAAGATGATTTTACCGCCATACTCACACTTTCTATCATTAGCTTGCAAATAAACAAAACAGCAAGAACAAAAGGTAATCTACATAATCATTTCATTCAATAAGCAGACAATTCATCACAATGAAGCATAAAACCAAACTGTAACAAAGGAGAACAATTTAACTAGGATATAAAATAGGCTACAGAACAAAGGATAAAATAACAGTCCCATAGAAAAGCATTTTTGTGTGACTTAGAATATTGCATTTATCTATTTATCTGCCTAATACTGATGGGACTATATTTTGGGCATTATTTGGGTATTTGAGAGATTAATGTTAATTGTCATATCAATAATGTAGAATATTAGGCTACCTGTCATTAAAAAGGTTTGAATGCTTACCTGAGACCTTCATTTTAGCTTGGCACACAACCATTCCCAATTGCAATGACGTTTAAGGACAGTTGGCTAAAAATACATTTTCCTAAAGGATATATTTTGATGGCACATACTAATAAATGTGTTAGACACCAGTCACTATTAAAGCATTGTTTGAGTTCACTGGATCCTCTCAGTGAGTTGAGAAGTGAAAAGTCGTGTCCATGTGTTCATGGCAACGGGGACTCGTTGTACATATCCTCTCCTGGCTCCTCTTCAAACTTCACCTTGCCGTCAGAGGCATCCAGCTGCAACAGGACACACAGTCTCATTAGAGAAATGCACACAGTTTAGTCGAGCCACACTGATTTAGCTGAGGCAGAATTTATTCTAAACCTCCTGAAATGGTTTGAAAGAAAACATTTCCAATAGAAATGAAACTGAACCCATATGTAGAAAATGAATAGCTACACTGTCATTCTATTGATCACAAGATGATCAACAGCTGAATGGGTATTTAGAAAATGTTCTCTGCAGATTCCATCATGTCAATACTGGTCTCATCTGTATGTGATTTAGCTAACTCTTCTGACCACTCATCAGCATGACAACAATAGTTGTCTAAAGCACATAACATAAGGTCCTGACCTGAGACCAGGCTCCTACCCATAACACATGCATGTGCCTGTGATTGTAGTTAACCACATTACAACATTTGTGTGCCACTTACACATTTCATTTCCTTGTCAGTGAAGAGTGTTCCAGTGATGGCCATGCGCAGAGGGATGGTGAGGATGAGGACGAAGGGCAGAGCCAGGGAGAAGGCACTCATCTTCACCATCCAGAGAGCTCCCAAACACACCATCTGGATCAGAGTGAACAAGTGCATCTTCATGGTAGTTACCTACAGTAAGGAGATGAGAGAAGGAGGGTTCAGACAGGGGCAACACATTGGATATATACTTATATTTACCAGGGGCGCAACTTTCACTGGGGACGGGGGGGACATGTCCCCCCCACATTCTGAAATTGCATTTTTGTCCCCCCAGATTTATAATTGGAATGTGATACAAAACGAGGCAACAGTGTGCTTTAGGACCATGCGGACGCCTCAGAGCGGTCAGGTAGGCTGTTTGGAGTGTTTATCCGACTGTATAAAAATAAAATACAAAATAATGTCCCCCCCCCCCCACACTTCTAAAACAAAAGTTGCACCCCTGATATTTACTATGGTGTAAAACTTGTAAGTGCAAAGGTCATTTATGATTATTCAGATAATGACATTGTGATTGCCACAGTGTGTTATTGTGTAGGAATTGTCTGGTATGTTTCATAAATGAAATAATGATATAAAATGATGAAACAGAGAGGAGGATGATTGGAGGATGGAGAGAGGCAGCATACCCTTTGTGCGTAGGCGTCAGTAGGATAGTATTTCCTGGGTACAATAAGTAGAAGTATTCTGTCCCACATCTGGATCCCACTGAGTGAGGTTATACCCATGTAGAGGAAGATTCCAAACAGAGCAGTCATTGGAATCATCTTCAGGATAGGCTCCAAGAGAATAGACACACCTGGGAATAGCAGGAACAACAATATTTCTCAGACATTTTTAGGAGATCAACAAAGGACTGTGCTGGCCTTTTGTTTAGACATCCAGTGTTCTGTCTGTTCGTCAGTAGTGACTGCGTCAGCTAAATCTCAGTAGCCTATATGGTAGCACTTACCGACCATGGCGGCCACAAGCATGCCGCTGATCCTTTGCTCCAGCACCTTCTCGATCTCAGGCTTAGTTCCCTTGCTCATGACAGTGAGGGCGTTGGCATGGGTGACAGAACGCACAGTGGCGGCACTCAGCCAGGGCACCCCAAACAGGGAGGCGATGCCTCCCATGGTGACCAGGATGAGCAGGTCCAGATGGAAACCAGAGCCCTTCACCATCTTCCTCTCTGGTTTGCTCACAATCAGCCTGGAAAGGTCAGAGGCCAAACAATGAGAGGAGGCTTAGCGGTTGGGGAGGGACTATGGACATGAAGATGATGTTACTAACGTAGTGATCTGGGACTCGAGGAAGATGAGGATGAAGACCAGCAGGGCTGGCACACAACACGCGCCCATCATCCAGGCGGGGAAAGACTTCTTCTCTCCCATGGGGTTGATGAACCAGCCTCTGGCGTTGGGGTTGGACACCTTAAGACCCTTGGGCACCACAAGTTTCTGCCAGGGGACACACAAAATACATATGCTGTATTTAATCTATTACTAGATATCCCTTTTTACATGAAACAGTTTGAGGATATGTTATACACTGAGATCACCTTTTAGTCAAGGCAACACAAACCTATAAATCACGAACCTGAGTGTAGGCATCCTCAATGGTGATATCCACAGCGATCATGAAGAAAATGGCGATGGGAACACCGAAATCTCCAATCATCCGACGAATCTGGTGATAGGGAAAGCATATAAAGTGAAGGCTATCACACACAGAAAACAGAGGGGGCTCTCCAGCCCTAAAATACCCTATCCTGATTCATCTCTCCTCAATACTGTTCAGCAGCAACATACTGAATAAGCACCAGGTTGTTAAAAGTTTGCTTTGTTCACAGACATACAGTAGTCATCACTGTTGAAAAAAGCTGTAGCTCTTACCGGTCCAGGGAGGAAGTGGCCATTTTTGAACTGACGGAGGAAGTATGCGATGAAGAAACACCCGAACATAAGACACATGGAAAGCAGGGCGGTGTTGGGGTAGGCCCTCTCAAGTACGACCTCGTGCACTGTCTTGTTGCCATCATCATGTAACTCTATGTGCTCCTTCACCACCGGGTGGAAAGGGTTTTCCAGGGAGTCGTTCAAGTGCTCGTAGTTCAGAATCAGAGGGTGAGCTTTGAAGATCTGAATAACAAGAGAAGAAAAGTAGGTATGTAGATGAGTTAGCAGCGGAGGACAGGAGGGGTGTGAAGGAAAGGAGAAAGACAGGTTTTATTTTTGTATTTACAGTTTGGTATTTTATTAGGATCCCCATTAGCTGTTGCAAAAGCAGCAGCTACTCTTCCTGGGGTCCACACAAAACATGAAACATGACATAATACAGAACATTAATAGACAAGAACAGCTCAAGGACAGAACTACATAAAACATTTTTTAAAAAGGCACACGTAACCTACATATCAATACATACACACAAACTATCTAGGTCAAATAGGGGAGAGGCATTGTGCCATGAGGTGTTGCTTTATCTGTTTTTTTGAAACCTGGTTTGCTGTTTATTTGAGCAATATGAGATGGAATGGAGTTCCATGCAATAATGGCTCTATATAATACTGTACGCTTTCTTGAATTTGTTCTGGATTTGGGGACTGTAAAAAGACCCCTGGTGGCATGTCTGGTGGGGTAAGTGTGTGTGTCAGAGCTGTGTGTAAGTTGACTATGCAAACAATTTGGGATTTTCAACACATTAATGTTTCTTATAAAAAGAAGAAGTGATGCAGTCAGTTTAGGTATAAAAAAAGTGCCTTGGATGGTGGATGGATGTAAATGTTGGGATGGATGTGAGGAGATGAGGTGGAGTGATGTGTGGTACCTTGATGAGCTTGCTGAAGGTCTCGTAGATGAAGATGAGGGAGATGAGGATCGAGAAGATCTCCTGGGTGAAGCGGGAGATGAATTTGACCAGGAAGCTGCCCTCCACGGCCACGATGACCACCACGATGATCACCAGCCACAAGCCTACCCAGATACGGCCCACAATGTACTCAATCTCCTGGGACTTGCAAAACTAGACAATGGGATTGATAAAAATAAGTTGCTTATGTTAACGATGTACTTGCATTGTAACTTTTAAATTCACAGTTATCATAATAGCCTAAAATGACTGACATCCTGATGACATAAAGCAGTGATGGCTCAGCATACTGTCATCAGGGGTCAGAGCTAGGGCTCATTGAGCTGTCATGTGAAAGTTCTATGGTACATACCGCAAAGAAGGCCTCCTCAAACACCAGCAGTGGTCCAGAGAAGCCGATGACCAGTGTAGGCTGGGCTGCCAAGAAGGCGAAGATGATGCCCTGGACGCAGGTGGAGATCATCAGCTCAGACACGCCCATCATGTGCTCCGTCTTATCGGCTGGAGGCAGAGGTCAGGGGGATGAAGGTCATGATTTTAACCACTATTATGTAGGCCTACATACAAATCCTACATAGAGTCAGTCAGTGCTCCTGTCCTCTATGATACTAGGTGGGTCCCTCCTTCAGACATGAACTCACCCAGCAGGCCTCCGAAGGTGATGGCAGGGGACAGGGCAGCGAAGTAGATGAAGATGACAGCAGCCAGGACCTGGGGGTCGAGGGCGTCTGTGAAGTCACTGATGTAATGGCGGTACCGCCGCTTCATGTCCTTTATCATCCCGCCGAAGGGAATGCCTGTCCGGGCCAGCGGGTCTTCTCTGGGCTCCTCATCGGCCTCATCAGCTGGATAAAACAAAACAAATAATGACTCAAAATGAGCACAGACAGAGCAAGTGTTTTGGACGGGTTTAAACTAGAATCTCCAGAATCTCTGCATTTTCAAAACATCAATCCATTTTATTTGGAAAATCATATTAGAAGGAAATGTAGGCCAAACGTAAACAATCCCTAATTTGGAAATTGAATTAACAAGTTATATGTAGATTTAGATTAGTTGTAACTACAAGGTTAGTCTGTGTGACTGACCTTTGGCCCCGCCACCAAACATGATTCGGGTGTCAGAGGGGCGGAGTCTGTCCTTCAGCATCTTCTTCTGGAAGTTGATGATTGGCTCGAGCATGCCCTCGTCCTGGATCTCAGTGGGCGGGATGACGATGCTGCAGTCCATGAAATCAGCGATGGCATTGGTCAACTCCTTGTTAGTCTGGGCTAGGTAAGCCTCCAGACTAAAGACCTGAAGGACCGGAGACGTGGGGAGAGCAGGGTTAGCTATTGTAAAACACTGAAAAGATTAATCTAGATACTATCTCCTCATTCTTCCCTCTCCTATCTTCCCATTCCTTCCCTCACCCCTTGCGCTCCCTGGCCTTAATAAGTCTCATTCCTCTTTCCACTCCTATTTTCTCACCCAGTCAGCCATAAGGGCAGCCATGGCACGGCCACTCTCATGGTAGTCCACTCCTGCCTGGCTAGGGCCCACCAGCACAAAGATGAAGCGCACCGGCACAGGGGCCTCCAGGGCCCCCTCTATCACCACAGAGTCCCCCAGCCTGACGAAGGCCACGGCAGGCTTCTCCAGGGAGTCCATCACCCCTGGAACACACATAGAGCTTAGATTACGTGGTCCTCTGTAGCTCAATTGGTAGAGCACGGCGCTTGTAACGCCAGGGTAGTGGGTTCGATCCCCGGGACCACCCATATGTAAAAATGTATGCGCACATGACTGTAAGTCGCTTTGGATAAAAGCGTCTGCTAAATGGCATATTATTATTATTATTATTATTATTACGAGGTCCCCTGTAGCTCAGTTGGTAGAGCACGGCGCTTGCAACGCCAGGGTTGTGGGTTCGTTTCCCACGGGGGGCCAGTATGAAAAATGTATGCACTAACTGTAAGTCGCTCTCGATAAGAGCGTCTGCTAAATGATGTAAATTACAGAGTCTCCATACTTTTTAGAATAAATGGTTGAATAGGCAAATCAGACAGAGTTTCCAGTTGGTGGTGAGTTGTATTTCACTTTTCACACACAGCCTACCTGAGAGGACAATGGAGGCTTCCACACTATCAGTTGTATCTCTCTGAAAAGCGAAGGGTGGAAGGTCAGTTAGTGAGATATTGGGAGAGAGAGAAAGATAGATTTATCAAAGAAAGAGGGTGAGAGGTTGAATGAAGTCATGAAGTGCTGGAGTGATATTGAGATTTAGCGGTGGGATATAGCTCCTAAGCCTAGTGTTACCTGCTTGGTGACAGAGAAGGTCTGCATCTCGATGTCTCCTCCCACAGGTTGAGCCCCAGCTCCCTCAGACTGACTGCGTCTCTGCAGTAGAGCCCTCAGCAGGCCATCTCTATCAGTGGCACGGATCTCACCCTTGTTCTGCAATTCATCCACCACCTTCTCAGCCACAGCAGACAGACTGCTGGCCTGCAGGTCCAGAATGACCGCACCTGAACACACACAGACATAGTTTTGGGATAGGTCAAACATGGCCTGTTGCTGCCTGCCACCTAGTGTTGGAAATACAGATTCATATGGTGGCTTTGAGAAAAGATTCATTTGATAATAACCTCATGAAATTATCCAGATTATGTCCAGAAATTATTACAGATTGAGTGATAATTTGGCCCAGATAGTCACCTGTGCTCATGATCTTGCGAAGCTGGATCAGACTCTTGAAGGTAAGGTAGGAGACGTGGGAGGGGCCCCACTTGCCCGTTGCTGGGTTCAAATTCTCCTCATAGCCCACCCAGCGGCCTGTCTCCTGCCAGCTGCTGCCCATGAGCTCGTTCAGCTCCACATAGGCCTGAGACACACACACACAATGTCATGATCAGGTTCAAAATGCCAACTGCCTTTTCAATATACCAGGTATCCATTGATTTGAAGCTATACCCCAAATGGAGCTTACCTGAGCATCCCCTCTGGTGTTGGCGTTGGTGTTCAGGTTCAGATAGACTGAAATACAGAGAGGGAGTGTTCAGTCCTAGCACTCCATTGGAGGTGTACTTGTGTAGGAGAGACATACAGAGGGGTGTAGAGAGAATGTGTTGATTGGCGTTTAGTGCTCACCCTCTGGGTCGGTGTGAATGACGATGCTCTGGATTGCCTGGTCGCTGTCCTCTTCCTGCCTGCTCTGCTCCAGGTCATAGTTGCCACTGTGGCCCGGTGGGGTCCTGGGGAGGGAGGGGGAGGGGGGAGAACCAGGTTAGTGAGGGGGCACAGGACGCAGGTGTGCTGCTCCTCACCAGATCTTACAGACAACAGGCTAGGTTGTGCTCCTTTCTTTTATGAAATGGCGCAAGTCAGCCCCCTTGACAGAGAGAAGGATTTGCAATTTTTTGAAAAATAAATTTTTAAAAAACGTCCATCCATGCACCTGCAGCTCCTGATGTTTTGTGTTCTGGCCAAAAGGGGCAGCAAAAGCCTGTAGTTTATATTCTGTATCGTCAGAACCATTCGCTGGTTGTGTTACCAGAGATTGGTGACTTCAGTGAGAGACTTGGGCAAGCTCTGCATTATCGGTCCTGCCTTCTCAGATAAGGATGTCATGCTGGCTTAGGCCAGTGGGGGGTGGAGTTGTATAATAACTTACAGTAGGCCTACTTCTGATCACTCTCACTGACAATCTTTAGACAACCAGTTGATGTATATGTTGACAATATGATGTTATAGACACTTTCACCCATTCATTTAATTCCTTATAATATGGTTCAGGTTGGACTTCTTGTATGAGGAAATGCAAATTAGACAAACAAATACAACTTTTAAGAGGGGGAAGCACACACGGTCTGATCGGAGATGGGAAGGCAGAGTCACTCTCCTCCTCATAGGACATGACATCCTGGATGGAATCAGAGAGAGAGAGGGGGGGGGGGGGGGGGGGGTCAATGTAAAATATGTAAATAAAATGTAACAAATACTTTGAATTGACAATTCATATTTCCCCATCCCATCTACTGCATTATTGCAATAAAAATGTGTTTTGTCCACCTCTCCAAAAGACAGATCGTTCTCCATTGTAGTGTGTCAGTGCTTGCTTCGTCTGTCCTTTCAGCAACGTTTGTGCATACCCTGCAATGTGAATGCACATTGACATAAATGAACAAACACAAACACACTAGAATTAGACACATGAAATACAGACATGCATTTAACCTTTATTTTACCATTGAGATGAACAATCTCTTACAAGACAGACCTGGCCAAAAAAGCAAAACACTACAGTTTAAAAACATATATTTACACATTGAGCAGCAAGATGGTTTTGGGGAATTGTGGTGCAATGAAGGGTCAAAACATTGACAGGCCCTCACTTCATTTTCCATCATAGTGTTTACCCTAGCTTTAAACACATGTAAAGGGAGGAGCTCCTGTAATTTCCAGGACTTCTTGAAGCTCATTCCAAATGGAAGGGGCAGAGAACTGGAACCTTTTCCCCCTAGCTCTGTATGGGCCTTCGGCACAGTCAACCATCCACAGTCATGTGAGCGCAGGTGATAGTTGTCATTTGTCTGTGGACAATGTAGGTACACAGGTGAAAAGGAGCTGTCTCAGTATGGCCTTGTAAATAAAAACGTACCAATGATTTAGTCTCCGAAGAGCTAAGGAATGCCAGCCCACTCTCATATAGAGGGGGGATATTAGGGGATTCCCTCTAATGTCACAATCAATGGTTCAACAGTGACATCGAATAAGACCTTGCTCTAGTCTAGACCTCTCAGCTCTATTTTGACCCATTTTAGGGGTTGGGGGAGGGGCTTATGGCCCTGGCCCTGAAGAATAATACTGGGAATGCTTGAGACTCAACTACCCCTGCATCAGTTCTATAACTGGGGCAATCTGGGGTAAACTCTAACTGGGGTAATCTGGGGTAAACTCTATCTGGGGTAATCTGGGGTAAACTCTAAATGGACTGTTTTTGTCATGTTTTCATGGGCTCCTCATACACACAGTGAAGCCAAATTGGTCACAATGTGTGACAAGCCCAACCAACAGAGCATATGAACCTCTACACAAGTAAACCTTATAAGCACACTTATGACACATTTTGAGGCCCATTTAATCAAGATACCGCCAGCTCGTGTCACAGCCGCTATGAGTCGTGCTCCTAACCATGAGTCAGCCGTTGAGACAGTGTGGCCCATGCAGTGGTTTGAGTGGGAGACTCACAGAGTCTTATCTCTGGGTTACGCCCTCCTCAGGCCAGACAGACACCCTAGTGCTCTAGTCATCCATTACAGTCATTTACAATATTACAACTCATACTGTAAAAACTATTTTGTACAGTAACACGTCATTTAACAGATCTACTCTACTCCAAATACAGTAAAGAAAAAAAGAGGCTGTTGGTAACTCGTGGTACAATGACAGACATTAAAAGCTTGAAGTGTACAGTAAGAACTAGAATATTTTAATGTGTATTAACTTAACATTGTGTCTTCATATATCTGGTTACACAATGAATATGTAGTGCTCCAAATACACATAAAAGAATGTTGATTATAAATACTATGCAACTGTATATAACATTGGAACAACAGAGGCTGCTGGACAGATAAGAAGACACTGTTCACTACCACCATAATCTCTCAAACCTTGTGACCCTGAGCTTTTTTAACCTCCGTCGACCACTAAATTGAGGTGAGCGGGAAAACAAAAAAAAGTCAACTTTCTTCACATATACCATCACTAATTAAACTGATGAAGAGAAGCGTGATGTTAGTTGTTGTTTGAAACATCATGGGCCACAACCAAACACTACAGACCTTCAATTGTACTATACAACTCACACATAATGCTCGTTAGATTTGACAGTATTTTTTGTACCAATTACAAACTAGAAAAAAAACACCTGGGTCATTGTACGGTTAGTTAGCAACAGACTAATTGCAAGACTTGGGTTGTAGAAAGAAAAACTAAAAAAAAAGGATTTATCCTATTTGTAACTTGCAGCTATGTCATTCCAAAAATTAATTCTCACTGACAGGCTTGTATGATACACTTTTAGTATAAACCTCAGCTACATCTGAGTTAATGGAAAGTTAGATAAAGTTGTCTGTAGCATAATCCATTCAAATCCCTACCTTTTCTCACCTGTACCCCACTCAACACCACTGACCCCCAAGCCCCCTCAATGACAGACCCCAGTAATGGACCCCTGGCCTGGGAGGTCACACCCTTACCTGCACCAAGGTGATCCAGCCTGGTCTGTGGCAGTAGAAATAGGTTGATCGCCACGATGCGAACGTAAACGTACCCAATGATAGAGTGACCTGGGGCTGATGGAGAGACACAGAGAGAGAAAGAGAGAAAATGGAGGGAACACCCATTTGAAAGTATGTTGGCCCAAGAAACGCTGTACTACGTTCAGCACCAAAGGGGATAGAGAGATAAGGCCTGTGTGACAGACAAACAGCCCTATCGATGTGGCCCACCTTGGGCCAGGGATATCCCAACCCTCCTCTCTCCCCTCCGCCCTCTCTGTTTGGAATGGGGCCAAGTCAGGACATAGGGTGCCAGAGAGACCAAACCTGTATGGGCCAACAGGGCCAGCTTCACCCTGCATGGAGGGGAAAGGGGGTATGAAGGGGGGCACTCTATCAGGACGTGAGCATCTTGACTTCTGACGTCATCTTGTTTACGTACTAGGGATTCCCTTCTATGAAGGGAGGGATTCCCCCTCATGATGACCTTGAGAGGGTTTTATTATTAAATTAAACTTTTTTCCATTAAGCGCTGCCAAATTTATAAGCAGGCCTCGGTCACACTTTATTTGGATAGTCCGGATTTTCCATCAGTAGATGCTCTACAGATGGTCATACTATCAACAATCTGTTAATAAGCAACTCCTTGCTAAGGTTACGGTTAGGGTTAGGTTTAGAATAAGGGTTAGAGTAAGGTTTAAGGTTAGGGCTAGGGTTAGAGTTAAGTTTAGGGTTAGGATAAGGATAAGGGTTAAGGTTAGGGTTAGAGCTAGGGTTAGTAGATACTTAGTTGAAATGTTACTAATAATCTGTAGATAGTCTGTAGAGCATCTACAAATGGACTATCCAAATAAAGTGTTACCCAGGCCCCCACTGAACATTACATACTGTAACTCCCCATCCCCCTGTGGCTTAAAGTTCAGACCATCAGATCAACCTTGATCCATTTAGGGCCTTGATTGGGTCTTGGTTCTCAAACACTAGAAACTCATGACAGCAACATACGTAGAAACAAGTAAATATATCTTATGTATCCAAATATAGAGAGGACCTGATGGTGGGGGTCTGTGGGTGACCTGTGCCATACCTATGTGAGACAGGAGAGGGACATCCATCCTGGATTTTAATGAGATGAACAGAGATTTAACTATATTTCCATTTGCTCTGATTCTACAAAACACACAACATACTGTATCTGTATTTTTATCTGATAACCTGTATGAACGATCTCTCCAGCTTTGCTTAACAAACTTCTCTATTTCGTGCACCTCCTGTAAGGGAAATAACAAAATGTTTATACTACTGTAAATGCCAGTCCTTGTAATTGAAAAACCGTATAGCCCGGTATGAAATGCATTTTTATTAACTGGCTCAATGCTTGTTGGATCTTTATTTTTTTTGGTGAGGTAACCTAGTGGAAATCAATAACATCCCCTGTTACCACTCAACAACTGTTGTTACTTTAAACGTAAATGTTATTGATGCACCACCACCATTCTTGCCAGTAGTCAATTAAAGCTGAATCAATCTGTGAAAAGCATTAATTGGGCAATTAGAAATATGACAGTATGTTCATCCATTCTCATGACAGAGGGGTTACTAGATAAGCAGTGGACCACGCCCATGTGGATCAGGGGTAGATCAGGGGTATTCAACTCTTACCCTATGAGGTCCAGAGCCTGATGGTTTTCTGTTCTATCTGATAATTAATTGCACCCACCTGTTGTCCCAGGTCTAAATCGGTCCCTGATTAGAGGGGAACAATGACAAAACGCAGTGGAACTGGCTTCGAGGTACAGAATTGAATTTCAGGGCTCTAGATGTTCACTGCACTTGGGCTTTTGCGTTCACAATTTTTCCCCATTTACTATAGCACCTATGCTATTTCCGATTCAATTTATGGCACCTGTCTTGGAGCTAAATGGTATTGTAATGTACTCATTGTGAACATGTGATCTGATCAGCCTTTTATGTTATGTATATGTAAATTAAATGTAATAAGCAGGAGCTGAAGCATTCTGGGAGTGATAAGCGTGTCTTGTTGAGGGAGTATCAAAGGTATTGAATTACTGAGAAAACAATAAATAATCTGACAAATCAAAAGGGGAGAAGCCTGACAGAGAGAGAGAGAGAGAGAGAGAGAGAGAGAGAGAGAGAGAGAGAGATATGGACGGACAGGGATAGAGAAAATAGCGATTCTGCTGTGGCACAGGCCGGTTATCATTAATAGTGGAGTTGGAGGGCTATCTGCTGTGTCCATATGCCTCTGTACTGTACCTCTTTAGCATTATCGTATGTAATATGCAGAACTTAGATGAGGACTTCATTCTCTTGGGGTTGTTTGTCTTAGGAGTCATGGTGTCCTGGGTTCCATCCCTGCAAGGAACTATGTATTCCCGGCAATTAGCTACAATATTGAAAGACTAATGAGGCTGTTGGTTGCATCCTTCTTGTGACATACAGTCCCTTACCAGCTTTATAACTGATCCAAACCGATGCAGGAGGGGATCTCCTCTAACAAATCATATTACAAACCAATAACAGCATAAACATTCATTCTTCACAGAGATAATAATTTAATGTTGACTGGTATGGAGGGGTCTCTTGCAAAAATTATCATGGCAACCCCATTTATGAATTACACAATGCTAATGTTGAATGCTTCAATTCATCAAGTTCTGATGGGGGAATTGTGTGGCACAAAATAGGTGACAGTACTATGGAGCTCATAGACTCAGACGATAGGCTCTATCAGCCCTAGAGCAAGCAGGCTGACATGAATTATCACTCCTTACCAGAGCCTGTACCCTGGACCCACCTAGCCAGTGTCAGCCACTTACCACCCAAGGAGCAGAAACTCATAAAGGGCTAAAGTGCAAAACCATCAACCAAGCAAAAGGAATTCAACAGACAGTCCACTACGCAGAACATACTGTAGAAGTCAGATAAACATGTGAAAACTAATTCAGCAAATATCACTTTACAGAATAGGACTTTTTAATGCTGAATTGAGTATGGCAAGTCATAGAAAATTGTAGGCAGAGGATGTTCCATGTGTCACCCTCTAGTGTACAAATGTGCCTGAGTGAAAATAAGTGTTGTCTATATGGGTTGCAGTCTCCTCCTTCCTCCTGTGTTGCCAGTAAAGCCTGAGTTCTGAACATGACAACAATTAGGAAGAAAACAAAAGCAACAAACAATGTCATTTTATTTTATTTAGAGATTGAAGTCCTCCCAGTTGGTATCACACATTGTCATCAGCAATCATTAACAGTATTCAGCAATGATAATTAAAATGTGAAGAACATGGGCTGATGTCTCGTTAGTGTATCAGACAGACCAGTGGGTGGTGGCCTTCATAACCATAACTATCAATTCATCTACTCAACTGACCAGTTCTACTTAACATAAAGTTAATCTCAAAGCATGAGTTGCAATATAGGAGGTCAATACACAATAACACAACGAGAGACAGGCTTTAGCAGCTCATATTAATTGTTTGTCTGGCTGATGATGGTGCTGTAAACAGATAGGCATAGAAATCCCACCCAACCAGTCTCCCCCATCTCCTCTCTTTCTCTGATCCCATAAAATAGGAGCTGCCAGGACTGGGGTCATCATACTATAACCTTTCAGCTTTGGGCTACAGTAATCATATAAAGTCCTGGAACACTACAATGGGAGCAGAGAGAGAGGGGAGAGAGAAGGAACAACCAAAAAGGTCTCTAGATAGAAAAGAGTCTCTGCTGTGTGGGTGGTGACAGACAGCAGCATTGGTCTGAGTGATCACGGTTAGACGATGGTGGGAATTGAGATCTACAGGATGGCACAAGGTGGGCGATTTCTGGTCCACTTCTCCACTTGCTTGCCATCATAGGTGTTCTGGAGAGCGTCCCTGACCTGAAGGGGCATACACATTGTTGAGACCATTTGCGTCAATTTCACAACATTTGTGTCAATTTCAGTGAACAAACTGGCTGAAGTTGACCGTTCTGCAACTTCAGAGGAGAACGCTTCCGGTACTCACATCCTTTTCCATGGGGAAGCCACCTGTTTCCAGCTTGGAGAAGACCAGCTCCCCGTTGATCTCCAACTCAAAGCTGCCTGTAGAAACAACAGCATCACACTTATCTTCAAAACAATATGTAGGTTCAACCTTGACAGACACATACACAAAACAGGTGTGAAAACTGGTATTTTACCAAAAGAATAGGTAAATATTACAACATTTGCACAATACATTTCACTGTAGCCACTGTGCTTCTGCATCTGCATTGCTTGCTCTTTGGGGTTTTAGGCTGGGTATCTGTATAGCACTTTGTGACAGCTGCTGATGTAAAAAGGGCTTTATAAAATAAATGTGATTGATTGGGTATCCAGCTGACCTTTTCGTCCTACAAAGCCTGACACCTCCGCCTCAGGAAACCCCACAGCGACAGCCTGCTGAAGTTTATTGTAGCGGGGCTCGTACCCTCATTGGCCACTAAAACAGTGATAAGAAAACCAAAACAGTGATGAATAATTAAAACAGCATAAAATATCAACATACAGACTCAATCTGAGTGTTAAAAGGTATGGCAGTTGCCATATTTCCATATGATTTCCATAGTTTCCGGCCTCCGTAAAACAAACGCATTCTCCCAAATTTAAATTAATATAAACCTACCAGTATTCCACTCTGATCTGCACCACACCCATGGCTTTTGACTCAGATTCTTCTTCTCACTCCTTTCTTCTTGAATGTGCTTCGCTGATGTAAAGGTGTTTTGCCTGGCTGACTGAGGTGGGAGGAGTAAGAAACCTCAATATGAAAACACAATAGGAGCAATCGTAACTGCCTTAGTCTGAGTAAGTCTAAAAGTATATTGACCCATACAGTTTACTGTCAGGTAAGCAAACATACTAACTTTTACCTGGGGCCCATTTTTCCATTTGGGAAAGACCAAAACCCCCGTTTTTTAAAAAATTTTTCCCAAAATTTCAAGGGGGTTTCCCCCCCTTTTTTTTGGGGGCCCGGGGAAAACAAAACCCCCCCCAAAAAGGGCCCAAATCACACTTACATTTTGAAGTCGGAAGTTTCAACACCTTACCCAAAAAATTTTAAACTCATTTTTTCACATTCTTGACATTTATCCAAATAAAAAGCCCCTGTCTTGGGTCAGTTAGGATCACCACTTTATTTTAAGAATGTGAAATGTCAGAATAATAGTAGAGAGAATGATTTATTTCAGCTTTTCTTTCTTTCATCACATTCCCAGTGGGTCAGAAGTTTACATACACTCAATTAGTATTTGGTAACATTGCCTATACATTGTTTAACTTGGGTCAAACGTTTCGGGTAGCCTTCCACAAGCTTCCCACAAGTTGGATGAATTTTGGCCCATTCCTCCTGACAGAGCTGGTGTAACTGAGTCAGGTTTGTAGGCCTCCTTGCTCGCACATGCTTTTTCAGTTCTGCCCTCAGATTTTCTATAGGATTGAGGTCAGGGTTTTGTGATGACCACTCCAATACCTTGACTTTGTTGTCCTTAAGCCATTTTGCCACAACTTTGTTAGTATGCTTGGGGTAATTGTCCATTTGGAAGACCCATTTGCGACCAAGCTTTAACTTCCTGACTGATGTCTTGAGATGTTGCTTCAATATATCCACATAATTTTCCTTCCTCATGATGCCATCTATTTTGTGAAGTGCACCTGTCCCTCCTGCAGCAAAGCCCCCCCCCCCCCCCCCACAGCATGATGCTGCCACCCCGTGCTTCACGGTTAGGATGGTGTTCTTCGGCTTGCAAGCAACCACCTTTTTCCTCCAAACATAATGATGGTCATTATGGCCAAACAGTTATATTTTTGTTTAATCAGACAAGAGGACATTTATCCAAAAAGTACAAGCTTTGTGCCCATGTGCAGTTGCAAACCGTAGTCTGGCTTTTTTATGGCGGTTTCGGAGCAGTGGCTTCTTCCTTGCTGAGCGGCCTTTCAGGTTATGTCGATATAGGACTTGTTTTACTGTAGATACTTTTGTACCTGTTTCCTCCAGCATCTTCACAAGGTCTTTTGCTGTTGTTCTGGGATTGATTTGCACTTTTCGCACCAAAGTACGTTCATCTCTAGGAGACAGAACGCGTCTCCTTCCTGAGCGGTATGACGGCTGCGTGGTCCCATGGTGTTTATACTTGCGTACTGTTATTTGTACAGATGAATGTGGTACCTTAAGGCGTTTGAAATGCTCCCAAGGAAAAGACTTGTGTCTACAAAGTTTTTCGATCTGGCTGATTTCTTGGATTTCCCATATGTAGCAAAGAGCACTAATGAAGTAGGCCTTGAAATATCCACGGACACCTCAATGACTCAAATATGTCAATTAGCCTATCAGGCACATGACATCATTTTCTGGAATTTCCAAGCTGTTTAGGCACATCAACTTAGTGATGTAAACTTCTGAAGGATGGATCAGCAAATTAAGTGAAATACTGCTTAAACAATTGTTGGAAATTACTCACAACGTGATGTCCTAACGAAGCCAAAACTATGTTTGTTACAGATTGGGAGTAGGTGAAAAACCAGTTTTAACACTCAACTCAAGTGCCTGTAGAACCAACAGCATCACACTTATCTTTCAAAACAATATGTAGGTTCAACCTTGACAGACACATACACAAAACAGGGTGAAAACTGGTATTTTACCAAAAGAATAGGTAAATATTACAACATTTGCACAATACATTTCACTGTAGCCACTGTGCTTCTGCATCTGCATTGCTTGCTCTTTGGGGTTTTAGGCTGGGTATCTGTATAGCACTTTGTGACAGCTGCTGATGTAAAAAGGGCTTTATAAAATAAATGTGATTGATGGGTATCCAGCTGACCTTTTCGTCCTACAAAGCCTGACACCTCCGCCTCAGGAAACCCCACAGCGACAGCCTGCTGAAGTTTCTTGTAGCGGGGCTCGTACCCTCATTGGCCACTAAAACAGTGATAAGAAAACCCAAAACAGTGATGAATAATTAAAACAGCATAAAATATCCAACATACAGACTCAATCTGAGTGTTAAAAGGTATGGCAGTTGCCATATTTCCATATAATTTCCATGATTTCCATAGTTTCCGGCCTCCGTAAAACAAACGCATCCTCCCAAATTTAAATTAATATAAACCTACCAGTATTCCACTCTGATCTGCACCACACCCATGGCTTTTGACTCAGATTCTTCTTCTCACTCCTTTCTTCTTGAATGTGCTTCGCTGATGTAAAGGTGTTTTGCCTGGCTGACTGAGGTGGGAGGAGTAAGAAACCTCAATATGAAAACACAATAGGAGCAATCGTAACCTGCCTCCTTAGTCATGAGTAAGTCTAAAAAGGGTATATTGGAATACAGGTTTACTGTCCCAGGTAGGGTTGGGACAGTGATCAACTGAAACAGACAAGTTACTAGATGATAGTTAACTGTTTTTTCAGGTAAAACAAACAATGAAACATTGCAAAAACAAAAACCATTGACAATCAAGTCTCCAAAGGCTCATCATCCTGAGTTATTTCAAGTTTCTATCCTGTTCTTCAGTAATGGATAAGTTCTAGAAAAACATTGAAACATGTATTGAGACAATAATATAGCTGGGCAGGGTATTGGATTCCATGTGTGTACTGTGTCAAGACCATAACATGAAGGAACAACACCTCCACAAAATGTAATATCTGAGAGGATCTATTCCTACTCAGAGTGAGTTGGAAACATTTCAGTTAGCAGAAGTACATAACTAGCTTGATGGCAGTGGTATTTTGAACTTAACACCAGCCAATTCAGGAAGAAAAATGAAATTTAAATTGCAATTGTCTTCAAACTCTATTCAATGTGGAATTATAATTTCAGTGTACTTCCTGAATGTAATTAATTAAAATGAAATTGACCCCAACCCTGCTTAACACATTCAATACAGGAAAAAACACTCGGACACACTATACTGTAGCCAGTCAACAGGGTTTGATCAATGAAGATGCAATGTATGAAACTTACCAAGATGCTTCTTGCTCCAAAGGCTCTTCTCTTCCTGCTGCGGTTGTCATGGCTGGCTGTGTTGACATTACAGCGTGGGTGTAGCCAACAGCACACAAACACCTGTTCCCCCCCATAGAATGATCACATGACAGTGGTATTAGATGTCTGAATGTGAGCATCAACAAGAGAGTAATTACTGAGACTTACCTGAGTAACACACCTGAGGTGCTTTGTTGCCATGGGGATGTACTGTAAGAACAGTTCAGACCTGTGAATGAGCCAATACTCTAATAATAACATGTTAGTATGTTGTTACATAGCACTTTAGATTTCAATTGTTTTTCCATTCTTATGGAGTTGAGTAGTTATTACTGAAGTGAAACAAAGAAGAAAAAACATATGTTAAGTCGTTTTGAACATGACACGTTAAGAAAGACAATACTAACATATTTATACAGTTAAATAATCCTTAATTTTATTTTGTGATAGAAGTTCTCCCAATGGGTATTATACTTGACAGCCCTGGGCAACGGGAAAAATAATATTCAGAGATGATATTCAATAAACTGTGCGCATAAACAGATGCTGATGAGGTGTCGTTAGTGATAGACAGACCAGTGAGAGATGGCCTTCAAAACAACTAAGGATTTATCTACTTGCAAGGTCAGCTCTACTAATAGTAAAGCTGATCATATATAAAAGCCACAGAGTCAATGAAAATGCATTATCTATGATTCAGTGGCAGTATACAATTGCGAATTCACAAGAGGTTTGGCTACTACGGTGTTTCTCACATTTCGGCTAAAGAGAAACCTAGTTCACTGTTAAAGACACTGCCTGGAATGCTCCAGGCAGATTAGCTATAAAATGGACAAAAAATAATAATATATATTACATCCAAGTTCCGATAGAGATACACTAGTTTTAAAAATAAACAAAAGTTGTAATGACAGAACTGACACACAAAAAACCTTGTAAAAAGTATAAGTTTCCACCTAGTTTAAAGTGTCTCCATTTCATAGACTTTAGAACACATCTTATTAAATCAATTGACAAACATTGCATTGACAGTGACAGGTTTAAGCAGCACGTTCATCAGCATAGTAGGGTACAGGATACAAGTTGTGAAACAGGGCTTATGACGCTTAGAGCTTTAATTATTTTCACAGAGGGCTGAAAATAATTTAGCTCCTTCCCTTCTTGAGAGGAATTAGAACAATCAGGCAGTAACTGTCTGCCAGGCAATGAGGCTTTCGGAATATAACAGGGTGTTCCCCCCCAACCCGTTTGCCCCTCCATCTTACGGTCTCCTCCCTTTCTCTGATCCCATAACATAGGAGCTACCAGGACTGGGGTTATCATACTATCAACCTTTCAGCTTTGGGCTACAGTAATCATATAAGTCCTGGAACACCGCAATGAGAGCAGAGAGAGAGGGGAGAGAGAAGGTACAACAAAACCTTACGACAGGTTGTACTCTAAATCAAAGACAGCGGCTTCAGTGGTCTTAGTCCAACTCTGCTAGTGTAGTTTCAACAGAGAGTTGTGTGTCACCCTCATGCCCGGTTAGTGCAAAGGCTGAGTGAGTGATGACAGTGGCAGTGATGGGAGTGCAGCGTCCTGTCTTCAGCATGCTGCTGTCAGGAGAGGGCCAGGGTTGGAGGATAGAAGGAGAGGAGATCTACAGGATGACACAAGGCGGGCGGCTCTTGGTGATCTTCTCCACTGGCTTGCCATCATGGGCTTTCTGGATAGCGTCCATGACCTGCAGGGGGATAAGACATCTTGTGTCAATGGCGCTAGTCATTGGCAGTTGACACACAGACAGTGGGTCAGACATTAAAATGCCAGCTTTGTAAGAACTTAACAACTTACGTCGTCTTCATATGGGAAGCCGCTTGTTTCAAGCTTGGAGAAGACTACTTTCCCATTGATCTCAATCTCAAAACTGCCTGCAGAAACGAAAGCATAAAATCAAGGCAAAACAATGTAGTCTTTGAGACTAAAGTAGAGACATACACTCACAAGCCAGTTTATTAGGTACCCCACCCTGTTCACGAAAATGGTTAACTCCTACAGACAGTGAGTCACGTGGCTGTGGATTGCTATATAAAGCAGGCAGACCAGCAGAGGCATTCAGTTACTGTGTGATTGAATGGGCAAAACGAGTTACCTAAGTTACTTTGAGCGTGGTATGATTGTCGGTGCCAGACACGTCAGATCCAGCATCTCAGAAAATGCCGCCCTCCTGGGCTTTTCACACACAACAGTGTCTAGGGTTTCCCGAGAATGGTGCAAAAAACACAAAAATCCAGTTAGCGGCAGTCTTGTGGGCTAAAACAGCTAATTGATGAGAGATCAAAGGAGAATGGCAAGAATCGTGCAAGTTAACAGGCAGGCCACAAACAGACAAATAACGGCACAGCACAACAGTGGTGTGCAGAACAGCATTTTAGAACGCACATCTCATTGATCCTTGTCACGGATGGGCTATTGCAGCAGACAACCACACCGGGTTCCACTCCTATCAGCTAAACACAAGAAGAAACGGCTCCAGTGGGCACGCGATCTCCAACACTGGACAATTGAGTAGTGGAAAAAACGTTGCCTGGTCCAACAAATCCCGGTTCCTGATGGTAGAGATTTGGCGTAAGCAGCATGAATCCATGGACCAATCCTTCCTGGTGTCAACGGTACAGGCTGGTGGCGGTGGTGTACCACGGTCCAATCTGCAGCAACTGCATGATGCCATCAGTGTAGACCAACATCCCTATGGAATGTTTCCGACTTGAATAATTAATTCCCCGAAGAATTCAGGCTGTTCTGGAGGCAAAGGGGGGGGTCCAACCCAGTACTAGATGTATACCTAATAAACTGTCCAGTGAGTATATCGCTACACAGAGGAGAGAATATGTAGCTATGTCAAAATACTTCACATTAGTACTGTGTCCTTCCCAACACTGTACGTACCTGCATTGTCTGTAGTAGGCTATGTCGAAAGGACCAACTTACCTTGCCTTCCTACGAAGCCTGACACCTCCGCTTCAGTGAACTCCGCGGTTACAACCCGCGCGAGCTCCTGATAGCGGGGCTCGTACCCTCATCCACCGCTAAAGACAACGACAAAACAAAAACATGACTTAGTGATCAATAATTAACCCTAAAGTGGTTGGGGGGAAATGTCCAACAATGTTTAAGGTAAACATTCACCAACTAACGTTAGCTAGCATAAAACACAGCCCGTTTCATAATCAATGTGTGGGTACTATCTGTGCTATGAAGGTGGCTAGTTCGAACTGCTAGCTAATACTGTAGCTAGCTAGCTAAAACGCATGGGAGCTGCTTAGAAAAAAGGCGAATAATCCAATAAATGGAAAATAAACATACCAGTATTCGACTTTGACTTGCACACCCATGGCTGTTGAAGAAGCTAGCTAGCTAGCTTGCTAGTTCCTTCTTCTCGATACGCTGATTCTGGTTTGACCTAGAGACACAATTGTGTAACACAGATGCTAAAAAGGCTAACTAGCTAGCTAAAGCGTATGAGCAGAGAAATGCTTTCGATTGGTGTAAAAAGAGGTGGGAGGAGCGAGAAAAAGCAGGAAGAAAATACTAGCAGGGACCTGTTCCAATACTTTTGAAATGCATCCATCCTTTCCCTTTCTTCTTCCCTTCTATGGGATTATTGATCCGTTTGAATGGCAAATACTATAGACATATAGGTGAGGTTTGGGGCGTTATTGATCACACTACAATGAACAATCCAACTTTGTAGCAAAAAAACGATTGCAGTAGTAGTATTTTAAAACAATGGACAATTGTCTGTCCACCGCATAGTTTGCCATTTTGTTTTATAGGAATGCAGTCAAAATTAATGTTTGGTATGCAAGATTGCATGAATTTAAGTTTAATAATTTACTTACCTGAATCAAACTGCACCCATTCATTAAGAAATGCTTAACAACATGATTTATATACTGCCTCTCAGTCATTGGCAAGTCGACATAGGATAATAACTGTACAGATGTACTGCATCAATGACAAAGGTGGGCTGGGCAGATGACAAACTCAGACGGATGAGTTATGTCATAAAGTTGGGTCAATAAAGACCAGCCTAACTATTTTTCTTCCTTATCTTTTACTATTGCAAGGCATGCTGACCCAGAGGTGTGGCTTGTCGCTGTCTCTTTAACTGCAATAAATGGCTGGCTCCTTACTTATGCTGCATTCATAACCAAGTGGGAAGGTAGTATTTACCGCATATAGGACTGGTACAAATCCAGTTGAATCAAATCAAATCAAATGTTATTTGTCACATACACGTGTTTAGCAGATGTTATAGCGGGTGTAGCGAAATGCTTGTGCTTCTAGCTCCGACAGTGCAGTAATATCTAACAAGTAATATCTAACAATTTCACAACATATACCCAATACACACAAAACTAGTAAGGAATGGAATTTAAGAATATATACATATATGGACAAAGCGGCATGGACTAACATACAGTAGAATATTATAGAGTAGAATGCAGTATATACATATGAGATGAGTAGTGCAAAATATGTAAACATTATTAAAGTGACAAGTGTTCCATTTCTTAAAGTGGCCAATGATTTCAATAGGCAGCAGCAGCTTCTAATGTGCTAGTGATGGCTATTTAGCAGTCTGATGGCCTTGAGATAGAAGCTGTTTTTCATTCTCTCGGTCCCAGCTTTGATGCACCTGTACTGACCTCGCCTTCTGGATGATAGCGGGGTGAACAGGCAGTGGCTCGGGTGGTTAATGTCCTTGATGATATTTTTGGCCTTCCTGTGACATTGGGTGCTGTATGTGTCTTGGAGGGCAGGGTAGTTTGACCCCGGTAATGCGTTCGGCAGACCGCACCACCCTCTGGAGAGCCCTGCGGTTGCGGGCGGTGCAGTTGCCGTACCATGCGGTGATACACCCCGACAAGATGTCTCACAATTGTGCATCTGTAAAAGTTTGTGAGGGTTTTAGGTGCCAAGCCGAATTTTTTCAGCCTGCTGTTGCGCCTTCTTCACCACACTGTGGAGGTATGTCACAAGGTGGACCATTTCAGTTTGTCGGTGATGTGTACATCAAGGAACTTGAAGCTTTCCACCTTCTCCAAATCAAATCAAATTGTATTTGCCACATGCGCTGAATACAACAGGTGTGGACCTTACAGTGAAATGCTTACTTACAAGCCCTTAACCAACAATGCAGTTTTAAGAAAATAAAAAAAGTGTTCAATAAAAAATAGATAAGTAAAAGAATAAAAATAGCAAACAATTAAAGAGCAGCAGTAAAATAAAATAACAGTAGGGAGGCTATATACAGGGGGCACCGGTACAGAGTCAAAGTGCGGGGGCACCGGTTAGTCGAGGTAATTGAGGTAATATGTACATGTGAGTAGAGTTAAAGTGACTATGCATAGATAATAAACAGAGTAGCAGCAGCGTAAAAGAGGGGGTGGGGTTGGGTAGGGGGGACAATGCAAATAGTCCAGGTAGCCATGATTAGCTGTTCAGGAGTCTTATGGCTTGGTGGTAGAAGCTGTTAAGAAGCCTTTTGGACCTAGACTTGGCGCTCCGGTACCGCTTGCCGTGCGGTAGCAGAGAGAACAGTCTATGACTAGGGTGGCTGGAGGCTGACAATTTTTGGGGCCTTCCTCTGACACCGCCTGGTATAGAGGTCCTGGATGGCAGGAAGCTTGGCCCCAGTGATGTACTGGGCCGTACGCACTACCCTCTGTAGTGCCTTGCGGTCGGAGGCCGAGCAGTTGCCATACCAGGCGGTGATGCAACGGTCAGGATGCTCTCGACAGTGCAGCTGTATAACTTTTTATGAATCTGAGGACCCATGCCAAATCCTTTCAGTCTCCTGAGAGGGAATAGGCTTTGTCGTGCCCTCTTCACAACTGTCTTGGTATGTTTGGACCATGATAGTTTGTTGGTGATGTGGACACCAAAGAACTTGAAGCTCTCAACCTGTTCAACTACAGCCCCGTCGATGAGAATGGGGGCGTGCTCAGTCCTCTTTTTTCCCCTGTAGTCCACAGTCCACAATCATCTCCTTTGTCTTGATCACGTTGAGGGAGAGGTTGTTATCCTGTCACCACACGGCCAGGTCTCTGACCTCCTCCCTATAGGCTGTCTCATCGTTGTCGGTGATCAGGCCTACCACTGTTGTGTCGTAGGCAAACTTAATGATGGTGTTGGAGTCGTGCCTGGCCATGCAGTCATGAGTGAACAGGGAGTACAGGAGGGGACTGAGCACGCACCCCTGAGGGGCCCCCGTGTTGAGGATCAGCATGGCAGATGTGTTGTTACCTACCCTTACCACCTGGGGGCAGCCCGTCAGGAAGTCCAGGATCCAGTTGCAGAGGGAGGTGTTTAGTCCCAGGGTCCTTAGCTTAGTGATGAGCTTTAAGGGCCCTCCAACTGGTAATTACTAGTGGGAAGCTTGTCTGTCATCCCTGAGCTTCGACTTCTCCCACATGCTGAACTCTGACCTCACCAATTAAGGAAATTACCTTGATACCAGCATTTTCGGCAGTATTTTATTTTACCTTTATTTTATCAGTGAGACTTTTACAGATTAGCCCTGAATTACATAAATTACAGAAAATACACACATCAAAATATAAATACAAAATGCAAGCAGAAAGAAAGAAAAACACGGTCATAAAAAACAAACACATTCATCAGTAATAAGGTCCTCCATCAGCTTTCTGAATTGGCCTAGAGGCACCAGAACATAAAATGTAAGAACATTTTGAAGATTGTTCCACAAATAAGGTGCAAGAAGCTGATTTACCTAACTCAGTAGAGACCAAAGGAATTTCCAGAGTTAGCCATCCCTGAGAGCTCTTATGTCTAAAGTTTAGTTATGATGTTAGGTACAGTGGGAATTTTTGTAAAAGGGCTTTGTAAATGAAAACATAGCAATATATCAACCTACGTGACATCAAAGAGGGCCAACCAACTTTCTGGTAGAGAATGCAGTGATGAGTACTAAAATTGTGACCTGTAATAAAGCGCAGTGCGCTATGATAAACTGCATCTAACAGCTTTAATGAAGTGGCAGCTGCGTTCATATAGATGATGACAATTTTTATTCTCAGTTTATTCTCATGCATCCAACTCATATTTACAACTTCACAACTCGTAATTACCATCTTCCGATTTGGTTATAAACGCAACATTATTATTGCTTATTACTGCCAACCTTCAGACTCATAAAGACATCAGAAGTCATCAAGGCAAGTGTCCACTCCCTTCAGAGTAAAAGATACACCCCAGTCGTTCAGGAACTTGTTGTAAGCCGGAAGGAAAAGGACTGTTATTGGGCATTGACATGATGACTAAAATTAGTTGGATTGTAACACTTTTTGGGAGAATCTAAGCACAGATAGAGCTTAATATCAAGAGAAATGGCAACCAGAGAAGTGGTACGGTTTTTCATCTCAATTGTCTTGCATATCAACTTGAGAAAAATGTTGTACTGTATATAACTGACCATTTACACATGGCTTATGAAGTTGTTTTTAATGACTTTAGCATCAATCAGTGTAAAAGTATTACTCACACATATTTAAAATATATAGTATGGCCAGTTTAATGTAAGTTAAGATTATTAACTGCTCTCTTATATCAATGTGGTGCGTGTACTGATATTTCTAGGCAACATTACCATTACTTTGAGCAACTATTCATGTTTTTCCCCATGTACTGTATGTGTACTGTGTGTAGCAGGTACATACTGTGTGCGATAAAAAAACATGTGACAGACATCTGATCAAGTTGTCAATACACCACGTTATCAGTAGTTTCATAGTACACACACAGGTGCATGCTATCTGTGTGTGTTTGTGTATGTACTTGTGACTGTATGTCACACCCTGGCTCTGGGACTCTATTGGTTGAGCCAGGGTGTGTTCATTCTGTTGTGTTTATTTCTATGTTGGCTAGAGTGACTCCCAATCAGAGGCAACGAGTGTCAGCTGTCGTTGGTTGTCTCTGATTGGGAGCCATATTTAAACTGTCTGTTTTCCCTTTGTGTTTGTGGGTTTTTGTTCCGTGTTGGTCATTGTTACCGTGGACTTCACGAGTCGTTTCTTGTTTTGGTTATTGTGGTCTATTATCACTAAAGATAATAAAGTTTAACCATGTTCGTTCATCACGCTGCGCCTTGGTCTATTCCTTACGACGATCGTGACAGAAAAACCCACCAAGTAAGGACCAAGCAGCGTGTCCCGGGGCAGAACTTGGACTGGACATGGGAGGAAGCGCCGGGAAAGGCCCTGGCGAAAGAGGAGCAGCGGCGTCAGCAGTGTCAACGTCGGACAGGCGAGAGGCAACCCCAGAAAATCTTTAGGGGGGGGCACACGGCATGGACGACGGGGCTGACGGAGGCAGAAAAGGGGCGGATTCAGAAGGCCACCAGGTTACGGGGGCCACTGGTCAAAGCAGGGAAGGAATGTGTAGAGGCACGGCGAGAGGTACTGGGGTGTGTTACCAGTACGGTCCGGCCTGTTCCGGCCCCTCGCACCAAGTGTACGGTGCACGTCGCCAGCCCGGTCCGGCCTGTCCCTGCTCCTCGCACCAAGCCTACGGTATGCGTCGCCAGCCCGGTCCGGCCTGTCCCTGCTCCACGCACCAAGCCTACGGGGTGCGTCGTCAGCCCAGTCCGGCCTGTTCCTGCTCCACGCACCAAGCCTACGGTGTGCGTCGCCAGCCCAGTCCGGCCTGTCCCTGCTCCACGCACCAAGCCTACGGGGTGCGTCGTCAGCCCAGTCCGGCCTGTTCCTGCTCCACGCACCAAGCCTACGGTGTGCGTCGCCAGCCCAGTCCGGCCTGTCCCTGCTCCACGCACCAAGCATACGGTGTGCGTCGCCAGCCCGGCCCGGCCTGTCCCTGCTCCACGCACCAAGTCTACGGTGCGCGTAGCCAGCCCGGCCCGGCCTGTTCCTGCTACTTGCACTAAGCCAGGGGTGCGAGTCGTCCGCCTTGTAAGGCCCGTTCCTCCTCCACGCACCAAGCCAGGGGTGCGAGTCGTCAGCCTGGTAAGGCCCGTTCCTCCTCCACGCACCAAGCCAGGGGTGCGAGTCGTCAGCCTGGTAAGGCCCGTTCCTCCTCCATGCACCAAGCCAGGGGTGCGCGTCGTCAGTCCAGCACAACCCGTGCCTGGGTCACCGGTGCCTGGTAAGGTACCGGTCAACTGCTCCACTACGGAGCTGAAGCGAACCGCTCCTGCTGCGTCCAGTTCCGCTCCAGCCAGCGGGGCCAGACTGGACCAGGGGCGCTATGGGGGGTTTATTGGAGGGTGGTGGGCAAGGCCGGAGCCAGAACCGCCGCCGAGGAGTTATGCCCACCCAGCCCTCCCCTGTTTTGTTCAAGTTGAGGCGCGGTCGCAGTCCGCGCCTTTAGGGGGGGGGGGTACTGTCACACCCTGGCTCTGGGACTATATGTTGAGCCAGGGTGTGTTCATTCTGTTGTGTTTATTTCTATGTTGGCTAGAGTGACTCCCAATCAGAGGCAACGAGTGTCAGCTGTCGTTGGTTGTCTCTGATTGGGAGCCATATTTAAACTGTCTGTTTTCCCTTTGTGTTTGTGGGTTTTTGTTCCGTGTTGGTCATTGTTACCGTGGACTTCACGAGTCGTTTCTTGTTTTGGTTATTGTGGTCTATTATCACTAAGTGGCGCAGTGGTCTAAGTACTCCTGAGTGGCGCAGTGGTCTAAGGCACTGCATCGCAGTGCTAACTGTGCCACTAGAGATCCTGGTTCGAATCCAGGCTCTGTCGCGACCGGGAGACTCATGGGCGGCGCACAATTCGTCCAGGGTAGGGGAGGGAATGACCGGCAGGGATGTAGCTCAGTTGATAGAGCATGGTGTTTGCAACGCCAGGGTTGTGGGTTCGATTCCCACGGGGGGCCAGTATAAAAAAAAGATATGTATTCACTAACTGTAAGTCGCTCTGGATAAGAGCGTCTGCTAAATGACGTAAATGTAAATGTACTAAAGATAATAAAGTTTAACCATGTTCGTTCATCACGCTGCGCCTTGGTCTATTCCTTACGACGATCGTGACACTGTACGTGTGTGTTTTTTACAATTTCTTCGTTAATCATTGTGGGAATGACAGTCCCTTTAAAGTGGAAGCTTAATGTCAGGCGATATAACACAAAATGTGCACTGGCATGAACAGTAACTCTGTCTCTTACGTCTCTTGTTTGGGTCTCTCTCAGACCTGAAAGTTGTCCTTCTTGGTGGCAGAAACTCTGGGAAGAGCGAAGTGGGCAATGTGCTGCTAGGCAGGGAGGAGCTTGTCATCAAGGAGCGGACAACGTGCTCTATGAGAGTGGGAGAGGTGGCAGGTGGGTGGGTCACTGTGGTGAACACACCTGGCTGGTGGTGTGACTTCAACGTGCAGGACACCCCTCAGCTGGTGAAAAGGGAGATCGCAGTGTATGTCTGTGCATTCCAAGACCCCATGTTTTCCTTATCGTCATTAAGGTACGCTCAGGGTTCTGTGAGAAGCGTCGCAGGGCTGTAGAGGAGCACCTGGCCCTCCTCAGTGAGAGAGTGTGGAGTCACTGTATGGTCGTCTTCACCTGCAGTGACTGGCCTGGACACATGCCCATGGAGCAGCAAGTCAAGAGAGGAGGCAGGCCCCCCTGTGGCTGGTGGAGAAATACAGTTATGGGTATCACTGCCTCAACTTGAAGAGTGGACCAGGTGGAAATCAGGTCACAGAGCTGTTCATGAAGATGCAGAGACTGGTGACAGAAAATAGTGACAGCTATTTTGAAATGGAGGGAATGCTTTTACAAGACGTGGAGGAAAATAAGAGGATAGTGATTGCTAAAGAGATTGATAAAAATGCAGAAACAGAGATGTTGCTGGGAGACAAGTCACCGTGGTGAACACTCCAGGCTGGTGGATGAATGACTTCTCTCAGGATAGTCCTGTTTTTGACCGACAGGAGATAGTGTGTAGTGTATCTCTTTGCTCTCCTGGTCCACATGTCCTCCTGCTGATGGTGCGTGTGGACTGGTCCTTCACAGAGACCTACAGGAGAGCTGTGCAGGAGCACCTAGAGCTCATCACAGACACAGTCTGGGCTCACGTCATCGTCCTGTTCAACTTTGAGGACTGGCTGGGAGACACAACCATCGAGCAGCACATTGAGAGTGAGGGGGAGGCCCTCCAGTGGCTTGTGGAGAAGTGTGGCAACAGGTATCATGTCCTCAACAATAGAAGCAATTCAGGATTTCAGGTTACAGAACTGATGAGAAAGATTGAGGAACTGATGTCATACAACAGCAGTTGTTACTGTAAGATTGAGGGTGGCGTTCTGCAGGAGTTGGAGGAGAAGAAGAGGGAAGAACAGAAAAGAGCAGGGGAGAGACTGATGAGAAGGCAGAAACAAAGAAAGACTGCCAGATCTCTATTGGGTGAGTTAAATCAATCTCTCTCAAAATGCACTTTAGGTGTCTGATTCTATTCATATTGGTGTGAAATATTTTGGATGAACATTTTCCATTCATTCATAGAGCTGTAAATCAGACAATGTTAATGAAGCACTTTGTATTCATTCATTTTATGTCTACAGTAGACGTGTTATACATGACAGTATTCTTATTTGTTTGTGACAGGGAAGCTCCACTGTTGCTCAGAGCTGAGAATAATGCTGCTGAGTGGCCGCAGCACAGGCAGGAGCTCTGCTGTAAACACCATCCTGGGCAGAGAGCACTTTAAAGTAGGGTGCCATGCCACTGACTGTGTGGAAGGACAAGGAAAGGTCAGGGGTAAGACTGTGACAGTGCTGGACCCACCAGGCTGGCTGTCAGTGGGTCCTGGCTCCCTGATGTCTCCCTCAGCCTCTGGGGTAACTGTGGTCCTGGTGGTTGTGAATGTGAGATCCTCCTTCAGCCACACTCTCCGGAGAATAGTAGAAAAACACCTGGAGGCGCTCGGAGAGAAGGTATGGAACCAAACCATGTTCCTATTCACCTTTGGGGACTGGCTGGGGGACACGACGAGCAGCGCATTGAGAGTGAGGGAGAGCCCCTCCAGAGGCTTGTCGAGAAGTGTGGCAACAGATATCACGTGTTGGACAGTAAGAGCCAGGGCACCGGTGCACAGGTCACTGAACTGCTGGAGAAGATAGAGGAGATGCTTGTGGAGGAGAGGCTGGAGGTTCTACAGAGAGGAGAACAGGTTGGGAAGTGTCTCACAGTGATGCAGGAGCCAGAGATGGATGGAGTGATGAGACAGGGAGAGGGCATAGAGGTCCCTGCAGCAAACTATACAGACGCTCCCTTTCATGATGGTAAGCAAGACTGATGCACATTAGTTATAACTTACAGTGCATCATGTCATGCTATATTTACTATTTATTCTGACAGAGCTCTCTTGTGTTGCAGCGTGTGAGGTGGCCAGTTCAGAGGACCTTCTAACCCCAGACGACCCAGGAGCCTCAGACTTTGGTGGACAGGGGTTGGCACTACCAGAGGGTAGCGGAGGAGGGTGGACTGGAGCAAATCACTCCATCCTGGATGTGGAGGGGTTTCTGTCCAGCATGGCCAGTGTGCTTCAGGGGAATCAGGAGGGGCTGATGTGGAACATGGGGGGCAGACAGACGCTAGTGGTGAACCTCCCAGACTGGCTCCACACTGGATCTACTCAGAGCCATCATCTGAGATGGAATGGACAGAATGGTAGAAAACCTGTCACCCTGTTCTCGCCAGGACACCAAGCTCTCCTCCTGGTCATACCCGTGGAGCAACCCAAAGAACCAGAACGAATGCTGGTGGAGAAACAGGAAGACATTGTGGATATACAGTCCCTTGGACACCCCAGGCTGAGGGACAGGGCCTTCAAGGAGATCGCCAGAACAGGAGGCCTGCAGGCACTGATTGACCAATGGGGGAACAGTAACTTGGAGGAGCTTGAATCCTTCATTGACTCCTATTTTGAAATGGTGTGGAAGGAAACCATGGGGTCTTTCATGGTAGAGGAGGAGGACTGTCTCATCAGCAACAGCCCAGAGCTGGATGATGTTGGGGATGATCTTGTAAATGAGGGTGGCCAGGAGGTGCTGTCATCCATTGACAAGAAGCTGTCTAAGCTGGACATCCTGGAGGGCATGCAGAGAGACCTGCTGGAGCTCAGACAGAGCCTGGATCGCAGCTGTAACATCATACAGGAACTCAGTGACAAAAGTAAAGCAACACAGGAGCCTGCTGTGCCCTCTGATGCAGGGGAGGCAGAAGTGGAGGAAAGTTGCTAGAGGAGAGATGTTTAACAATAACATAAATTATAAGTTATAGATTGGTTTGTTTGTTTTATCTAATGATGCCCTAACAAGTAATTAACAGTATTGATTTATTGATGGAGTTAATGCTTATGGTGAGCCAGTATATTCACAAGATTTCTTTGTGACTTTATGATGTCATGTGTTTCCACAAGGGGGAGCCCTCTGACAAGTGATTTTGGGGGGGTTGGTCTCCTGCATAGTCTACTGATCCAGTAGTTTTTTGAACTGAGGTTACTGTATCTATTCACTACATGAAACATTTTAATCACTCCATTATTATGCAAGATACCAGTTATTTTAAATAAGTTATTGCTGATAATTTCCTAGATTATTGTTTTATTTATTTTCTGAGGCTTGTACAAAGACAGACATATCGGGTCCAGATGATAGCACATGTATCATGCCATAAAAGTTACATATTATATCAAGAAACATATCATATCATAAAAACATCCTACAAGTATCTCTCCATCCAAGGGGGAACTCAACAGCAATCTGTTATTTTTTGTGTGTTTGCTCATGGGATGACTTGTTCGAGTGAATGTCAAACGAATTGACAGCAACAAAGACTGAGAGCCGTGGCCCTCTTAGGTTGTGGGTAAGCTGAGGATGAAAAACTCTCTGACTGTGTTGTGCTGTGGTGACTGTCTGCAGGTGCTGCAGCCCCAGCCTCAGCCCACTGGCTGATGACTCATCTCTCTACAGCAGAAGCAGAACATGTACAGTTGAACTGATGCACAACTGGAAGGGAAATAGGTCTTCACATTGGGTCACTACTGTTCATAAATAAGGGCATGGAGTTTTTCCTCTTCAGGTCACATGGTTAGGAAAAAACTCCAGGTGCTTTTCACAACTGCGCTCCATCTTGCAACATGCTGAGGTGTGTGAGAGGGAGAGAGAGAGAGAGAGAGAGAGAGAGAGAGAGAGAGAGAGAGAGAGATAGAGAGAGAGAAGAGAGAGAGAGAGAGAAGAGGGAATAGTGAGAGAGACGCACTAGAGAGTGAGGGGAGAGAGAGAGTATGTCGCAGCTACTACTCGCTAGCGTATATACAGATAGATAGCGCTAGAGAGAGATGCTAGATCGTAGCTTTTCCCTATATGTTGTCATAGGCTAGTGATATAAGGATATGCATCTCGATCTATAGAGATATCTTATATCGATGTCTAGAGGTTCCCGTAGTGAGACCCATTTGCTTACTAGTTAGTCTGCTTCACCTTCGCGATTTTATGCGATCGTATCGCTCGCTATAGAGAGCCTCTGCTCGATAGCGCTATCGCGCTAGCCAGAGAGAGAGAGAGATGCAGAAACAGAGCATGTCCTAAATTACCTTCAATCTCCAGTTAATGAAAAACAGGAAGTTGGTTCAGGCTGACCAGACATTGTGTGAGCTGAGAATACCATAAAGCTGGAAGGCTACATTTCTAAACCCTTTCAGAATTTGCCCAAGAGCCAGAGAGATGAGTCACACAGACACATATAGCGGCTAATAGATTTCTGGCTGGGTAAGTAAACACTTTGCAAAGCCTGGTGCAGTCAAGGTCAAGCTCTATCTACTTTTAAAGCCAACATGTAAGAACCTCAAAGTAAAGTGTTTTTATAGGACAATTTTTGTTGAAGTCATTTAAAAAAATGTTTTTCCCAAGGAATTCTTTTTTTTTACCCTCTATTTTTTGTTGATCCTCTGAACAAGGTTACAACGTTGACTGATTGAGGACAAACGTGATGTTTTATTGTCACATACACCAGATAGGCAGTACTGTAAAAACGATTGATACTCAGACATTGTAGAATTACTGAAACTTGGGCCAAAAACCAGCCAGTCAATTGTCTTTTCCTCTCAATACGGTTGAGTGTGTTTTTGTATTAATTTCTAGTTCTTGTCAACCTCTAGTTTAACTCTCTACATCCAATACTCACCTTTGTCAATAGCAACACTGGGTTATTTTTAGAGGAAAGAAATCCCCCAGCCACAAAGTGAGGCTCTTGGGTCATAAATGCACTTGTTTTATTTTTGACACATAGCCTAGGCATCCGGTCTAGTGTTTTTCTTCCTCAGACTAGAAGTTCCATTCTGGGAGCATGCATTATGCAGCGATCCCCAGAGTGCTCGGGGAGAGTGAGGAGGGTCCCACCTGGTGTGTTCAGAGTGCATCTCCCCACCGCCCAACTTACTGGCCAATGGGAGAGAGGGTTGTGACTCCCACCCCAGCATAGCCTGGACTGGAGAGAAGGGAGAGTGAGTAGAAAAGGGTAAACAGAGAGGGTATGGGATGTTTTTAATAAGGTGTAATATGAACCATGCCTCTCAAGCAACAGATGTAAACTACACTCTTGGAAAAAAACATCCCTGAAAAGTGGATGTTAGCGTGTTCTGGCGACTCAGCATAGGCTAGCCCTCCAGTCACTATCCTTCTCTTCCTCTCTCTATGTCTCTCTTCCCAAGCTCCTTCACTCCCTGTCTCCTTCTCTCCTATTATTACCTTTCCTCCCTATCCCCCCCCCCCCCACACACACACACACACACTCTTTCAGCTCCAGTTGTGAGTCTCAGCCCAACCTACCCGTTAAAAAAGATCTGCAGCTCGGACGGAAGGAAGCTGGAGAGAAATGGATCTCTCAGTGTGACGGCGGTGCAGTGGCCGTTTGGCCCGGGAGACAGTCCTGAGCCCACATCCATCTCCATTAGTAGGACAGCCCAGCAACCAGCACGACCCTCCCCCCCACCCCCCACACACACACACACACAGGATCACGTTTCACCGCCTGCTATTTTTCCAGGTGGAGAGAGAGGATAGTAAAAGGAGGGAGGGAGAGAAGCAGGCATGGAGGGAGGGAGAGAGAGGGATGATTTAGACTTGGTGAAAAAGAATCAACCATCCTTCACTTGCCCTCTCCATGCTCCAATGTCATGACCCCCCAAAGGGTCGATGTCTGTCTGAGGTGGTACAGTGTACAGTCGTGGTCAAAAGTTTTGAGAATGAAACAAGTATTGGTCTTCACAAAGTTTGCTGCTTCAGTGTTTTTAGATGTGTTTGTCAGATGTTACTATGGTATACTGAAGTATAATTACAAGCATTCCATAAGTGTCAAAGGCTTTTATTGGCAATTACATTAAGTTTATGCAAAGAGTCAATATTTGCAGTGTTGACCCTTCTTTTTCAAGACCTCTGCAATCCGCCCTGGCATGCTGTCAATTAACTTCTGGGCCATATCCTGACTGATGGCAGCCCATTTTTGCATAATCAATGCTTGGAGTTTGTCAGAATTTGTAGGTTTTTGTTTGTCCACCCGCCTCTTGAGGATTGACCACAAGTTCTCAATGGGATTAAGGTCTGGGGAGTTTCCTGGCCATGGACCCAAAATGTCGATGTTTTGTTCCCCAAGCCACTTAGTTATCACTTTTGCCTTATGGCAAGGTGCTCCATCATGCTGGAAAAGGCATTGTTCGTCACCAAACTGTTCTTGGATGGTTGGGAGAAGTTGCTCTCGAAGGATGTGTTGGTACCATTCTTTATTCATGGCTGTGTTCTTAGGCAGAATTGTGAGTGAGCCCATTCCCTTGGCTGAGAAGCAACCCCACACATGAATGGTCTCAGGATGCTTTACTGTTGGCATGACACAGGACTGATGGTAGCGCTCACCTTGTCTTCTCCGGACAAGCTTTTTTCCGGATGCCCCAAACAATCGGAAAGGGGATTCTTCAGAGAAAATGACTTTACCCCAGTCCTCAGCAGTCCAATCCCTGTACCTTTTGCAGAATATCAGTCTGTCCCTGATGTTTTTCCTGGAGAGAAGTGGCTTCCTCGCTGCCCTTCTTGACACCAGGCCATCCTCCAAAAGTCTTCGCCTCACTGTGCGTGCAGATGCACTCACACCTGCCTGCTGCCATTCCTGAGCAAGCTCTGCACTGGTGGTGCCCCGATCCCGCAGCTGAATCAACTTTAGGAGACAGTCCTGGCGCTTGCTGGACTTTCTTGGGCGCCCTGAAGCCTTCTTCACAACAATTGAACCTCTCTCCTTGAAGTTCTTGATGATCCGATAAATGGTTGATTTAGGTGCAATCTTGCCTGTAAAGCCCTTTTTGTGCAAAGCAATGATGATGGCACGTGTTTCCTTGCAGGTAACCATGGTTAACTGAGGAAGAACAATGATTTCATGCACCACCCTCCTTTTAAAGCTTCCAGTCTGTTATTCTAACTCAATCAGCATGACAGAGTGATCTCCAGCCTTCCAGTCCTCGTCAACACTCTCACCTGTGTTAATGAGAGAATCACTGACATGATGTCAGCTGGCCCTTTTGTGGCAAGGCTGAAATGCAGTTAAGGATAGTAATTGGGCACCAGTGAAACTGAGTTCCAGTTCATTTTGAATCTGCGTCTGTTTCTCGGGGACTGGTACCTGCTAAATCATTAACCTCAACCACCGCTCTGCTACATACTGTACATTAACAACTTATGACTGCACTCCAATGACAGGGTTGTCGCTACAAATCCACTGAGAAGAAGGCTATGAGAAAACCCTCTAGTCGATGAGGACTGGGTTTGCCTCTATCTGACCCTGAGCTTTTTAATAAATTCTACTTCTCATCATAGATTACTGGATGAAGATGCAGTGGGATGGAAATACTTGCCCTGTTGCCTCAAGAGCTATGGCCACAGATAGAGTGCTCTTACAAATAACCTAGCTTAATATGAATTCCTTCCTGTTATCAATTGTTACATGTCTGGATATTTCTGTGATTGTTGTTGGATGGTCTTTTTCACCAGTAAACAATTCTGATACGGATGGGGTTTGTATAGAGAGGACACTGGGATGATATAAATGCAAGGCTATTGCTTTGTGGCTGGAATGATAAGAGACACAAAGAGCCTGTTGGGATGCAGCATGCAGGTTATCTGTAGGTTTATAGGGATGGTGATTGGAGAGAGAGATGAGGAGAATACAGCAGGACAGAGAGGAGGAGAAATAGTTA